TAACTCTACTAGTTTTATTCTGATTATGATGTCGCTAGATGTCACTAGCGGCGACAAATGCCTAAAACCAGTACAAAGATGTATAAGAAAAACACTGGAGAATTTCGACGGCTCGGTAACTGGACCCATAGCTCAGTAATTGGTACGAGCAATGTACGACGATGACGATGTACGAGCAAAGGTGCAGCATCGACGTGGTTTCAAGTCCCACCAGGTCAATGAACAAAAAATCTGTGTGTTCGATCTTTGTTTTTTCAGTTAGGTAGATTTTGTGATTACTTACTTTCACTAAATATTAATTGCTGATTGGACATCGAACTGCACTTTTGTATATTTTCGCCTTGCTGGTGAGTCCCCGCAGCGAGAATTATCAAGTATTGAAAGCCAATACAAGTACCAAAGATTGGGAAATAGTTTCCTTCGTTGCGTCGTTCATTTTCATAGCTATTTCGTAACCGCCAATATTTCGGAATGACCGCCAAGAAACAGCATTCTATATAAGTACATGCAAAAGCAAAATAAAACTTTTCAATCAAGTGCAATCATTTGTCTCTTAAATAAGTCTTAGAGTAATCATTAAATTTTACCCGTTTATCTTGCGCATTAACTGTATATAATAGCCACGATCTTTTCCGATTCTGTAAGAAAAAATAAAAAGGTAAATTGTATCTTTTGTCCAATTATTATTTGTGTAGTTAGGTACGAAATTTAAAGTAGAATTGTATAACTCACAAAATGGGTACGACTCTAGCTCCAGACTCTTCAACGGATTTTACTTATAAAGCAGCTGTCTAACTGGTGTATGTTGTGAGCAATTGGTGGGCAAAGGAATAGTTTCGGGCGGTTCTTGCGGGAGCACACCGATGATGGGTCGAATGTTGAGACCTGTCGGTGCACTGTTGTCTTTCAACTAATAGTGAACATACATAAATACGAGTACTTATATAATACCTGTGACCCCGTTTATACAAACCACGAAATACCAACTAGTGTTCTGTGAATCGTCTGCCAGGGATCATATCCAAACAAAATACATAATAATATAACTACTGTACTATATAATAACTTCATATTGCAACAAACAAGTAAAAGATTACAGTCACACAGCACGCATTTCGTGGTGATAAATTCAACCGTATGAATACCCACCCAAAATCGCTACCGTTTAACCGCCAATACGTACATTTCAATTAAAATTGTGATACCGATTACAAATACAACTCATCCAAGGAATAAATCCAGAGTTTTTTATCAGGTAGTCGAATATTGTAGGCTGATGCAGTATAATATTGACTATAGATCAAGTTCCATTATCGAAACATTTAAACGTCAACGACCCTGGGGTAACGGCCCTATTGATTGCTTGTGAACACGCAACCTTTAGTGTCAGCATGTACATTTTTCGTAATCACTCCAATACATTACCTACTGCCTAACGAAGACCACAACTCTCAAAAGTTTGACAGATAAATAGAAACATTCTCAAAAGTGTGACAGATAAATAATAGAAGTGTTTGATATAGCAACACTCAAAAGTTTAACTGAGTTTTGAAACAAAGTGCAAATTAATCACAGGATAGAATGAGCGATATCGTTTCTTATGCTGGTCTGCCACGCAGAGGTCCCGGGTTTAATTCGATATATTTGTGTCTTCTCTATGGCTTTTTATTTGGCACAAAATATTACCAACTTTGCACAACGCAGATATCTGCTGGTTATCAATAACACACACATACATATAAGGAAAGTTTTGGATTCTTCCGGGTCTGCAGATTGTTGGCCGTTACACAAAGCAATCAAAGAAAAAAAACGACAAAAGTATAGCTAAATTATATAGGTATTTGTCTGCGTTTGGTGCAAATTGGACGAAATCGCGAGTAGAAAATAAGTATTAGTTTTTCTAATGCCTATTAAAAACTAAACATCCTGTTTTAAAATTCAAATTTGGTTTTAATTATGTTTAAGTTTTAAAATTGAATTTAAAACAGAAAGAATTTTAAAACAGTCGAGTCGCGACAAACTAAAACATGCTACCCTGAAATTTTTTTCAATAATTTTTCAAACACCGACATTATGGATACAGTTTATGATTTTATGAGCTTATTAAACAACTCGTGGCACCTTTGATTAAAGTTAACCTGCGCCTTCTCGGTGACCTCATAATAGCGTCATTGTGAATTATGTCCGGCTAAGTATTCCTGTCACGTTATTGAAGATAATAAAAAGTCATACTTTTTAGGTATGGACAATAGACATGAATTATTAATGGCATGGTGACATTGCGTAAACTCCGCATTAAGCACAATGTCAGCGTAGTAGAATTCGCCCGTAATGGGGGGCCTGCACCAGTGCGTCATTCATTAGTAACCATTAGTTTACAAAGTATCAATTGCTTTAACGATGAAGATGATGTAACTCCTCGCATACCTGTGAGTATGCATCCCGCATGGACCATGAAACCTGTGTCCAAGAGTACCTACGCATTCCACACTGCCCTCCTTATCATAACCAATGGTCGGAAAAAGGTGTTCCACACTCATAGATACATGTATAGATACAGCTACAAGGAGCAACATAGAGTTGTTAAATCCACCAAAAAATTAATATTTACTTTTTCGAATTCCGGATTTCCGGATGAAAGAAATTCCTCTCTTTATTTTATTTATGAAGGTAAATAGCCATATATGGGTGAGGCCGTAAAAAATGGCGCTTTTTCGTTATGTTGAAGCGTCCAGCAGTTTTTTGTGAACTTATACTCCTATATTCCTTATACTACTTATATTCCTTTTAAAATACGGCATTGGAAATGAAACTGTTTTTCCGGATTTAAATCGCGTATATTTGTTTTGTACAAACAAACCGACGTTCGGGCCCTTTACAGGTCCCATGGTCACGGTTGACTGATGATGTCTGCTAGTGGTTCGAATTTATGATCATCTGTTGTACTGTGTGTTTAATTTGAATAGAATATTTTAGAGCGCGATCACGATTCCCATGCAAACTAAAATGTCCTAAAATTTCCCTTGTAAATAAAATTTTACATTATTTTTTTCCTTAAGTTCTACTAGCAAATGTCGCCGTTCCGTCAATGTAACCGTCAATATGCGATATCTAAAGCTAGGGAGGGGCGGAAAGCGACCATTCTCGTTACATTATTATTATATTTTGGTAAAAGGTCAGTATCTACACTAGTTAGTTAGTAGTTAGCAACACCATTCAATTCGGTACACAATTTTTCCAAAAAGCAGCAAACCCGATACTGCCAATATAACTTCTTCATTGCAAATTCTCAATATTTTGATAATTTACCTGGCTGTAGATTTTCTTATCTTATTATTATAGATAAGATCGAAATAATACGCTTCAAATCCGTATTTTAAGCAGACACTGGCAACAATTGTCTTGTGTGTCAATGTGTCAATTGTTGTGCTTAATTAAATAAGCACCTTACTATATTGAGTCATAGAGGAAAATTTAGGTTCCCTACCGTCTAATGCAGGTAGGTACACAACTATCTTGAATTAACTACCACATATCGATGTTGATTAAAGTAATAGAAACTTCTAAATTAAGATCCTAAACATGCTGACTCTATACTAACATCGTAAAGGTCAAGTAAAGGGATTTGCTGTTGAGAAACTGCCAGTTGCCAAACATTCCGTTTACTTAACTATGCAAACTGGTTGAGGATATCCTTGTAAAGGTCAATCGTACTCCTCGAGTAGATCAGCATATAGGTACGGAACAATCGATGCGACCGGAGGGAGCAATGTTAGGACCGTATCTATCAAGTATTGGTCCGCAATCCTTTCTGAAGCTTATGGATACTGACGTAGGGTCGTATTCCAGAACTCTACTTAATGCTCCAGTCAGGACTTCAGTATGATTTTAAAAAGTCCTTGCCATTAGGGTCGTATTTCCAGTGCTTGAAATCATACTCAAGTCCTGACTTGAGCATTGAGTAGACTTCTGGAATACGACCCTAAGTCTGTCTTTTTTGAAGATAGAGTAAAATGACAGTCAATTGCGCCAAAGTGTTGCCCGCTTGCAAGCAGCTAGTGATGGCAGTCGATAACTATTATATCGATTATCGACTGAATGTTGGTTACGCTTATGAATAAATAGCCGAACTTGTTTCATCTGAATCATCATCGGCCCCTTTTATTCGCCCACCTGCTAGGCACATTGTTGATTTGAATTGATAATTTTTAAACATTCATTCACTAAATTTAGCAGTAAGTATGTGTATTAAAAATACAATTAGGAGACATATTGTAAACTTTTTCATTTGATTGTAATAAACTCCGCCTGTCAATAAAATGTGTATGACTAAAAAATTATTTTTATATAATAACGCACACACTCAACATAGCCCCGCACTAGGGAAATCCTGTGTCGCGGGTGCCATGGACACACGCATAGACAACCATAAATTACACCCAAACTCACGAAAGATTTAAATGTAGGCCATACAAATATTTCTCCCGGCCCGGGAATGGAACTTGGGACCTCTGCGTGGTAATCCGACATGGTAACTGTTCGGCCACAGAGGCAGTTAAAAATAATGACTATAATAACGCAATTAGTAATCATTACATAGTCATTCGCAATTCAGTATTTTTGGCAAAATTTTACCTGATTTAACAATCCATCGATAAAATTGTCGACAATAACTCATGAGTTTTATTTTTTCACAGATTCGCCAGTAAAAGAATGCCAGCTATTTTTAATTTTAATACAAGAGGAAATTCTCTCCTTTTTTTAAGCCTCTAACTACGCGCCTTTAGCCTTCAATTACGTATAATTTTGTAAATTACACAATTATAAGTAACTCAGCGGGACCTAAGTGGATCTATAAACTACCACCATTGAATGTTTTGGTACCTCAAAATTGAATATTCTCTGGCCAATGAGACACTCCTCCTGCAAAAACAAATGCTAATTCCGTTTGCAAGCAACACTTGCAGATGACGTAACATAAAGTGGTGACATTGTTTCAGCTTCAACTCGCGGAGGCTAGAGAAGTTAAGTTCAGGCAGGCCCTGACCGAACCATTATCAATCGGATCCCACATCGTGTGCACCGGCACGCCTTGTGAGGATATACCATGGTATGTAATTCTCTAGTACCACTTTATCTACTTGTAGTAACCTACCCATTAGAACGGTCAGTCAATATCACTTGCTAAGGCCTTGTAATAGTCTTTGAGTGTTAAGCTGAGCCTGCTATTGACTCATCTACCTACTTAGATCTAGTAATGTAGTATTTGTGATTTTGTGAAACCGCCTGCTTGTTACAGTGGTATGTATACAATGATTAACTAAATATAGCTGAGATTTTACGTCTCGGATGAGTTAACTACGAGGCTAACTTTCATTATGGAGTTGGTAGCGCTATATTTAATTATAATGCAATGTAGTATGGATACAATTTATTGCATACAAAACCTAGTACAAAGATCAACAAAAGATACTTATACAGGGTATATGTATCGTTTTAAGTGTGTGTAAATATCGTTAAGTGTGTTCAGGCGATTGTTCCGTAAATATAAGAGATATCAAAACCTTTAAACTGATATCAAAAGTACTTTACTTAATGAATAAAACGACATCAATAACTTTTTTTAAATAAAACCACAAAAATCCAAAATTTTAATATTAAATGTTCCTATTCATTTCATATGGCATTCGTAGAGAATCTTTAGTTGACCTACTTTAAGAGCTAACAGGAAGTTTACAGATAACGAAACTGCTATAAATAAAGTAATAAAACTATCTTTTAATTGAATAAAAACAAAGTGATGTTTATTTTTAGTAAGTACAAAGTTTTGTATTCAAAGCACTTATTCGAAACTAAAGCCTCTTTACGAATTTCATATTAAATGTATGGAAGCCTGTAACTTTAAAGTTTTGGATTTTTCTAGTCTTATTTTTTTAAAGTTGTTGTTTTACTCATTAGTCATGTCACAAAGATTACATAAATTAAATTCTTAATATAACCTTATAATGTATAACCTTCTAACAAAGGCAGTGAGACGAACTTATCTCTTTGATATTTCAGGGTAATGAAAATTGGTGTACATATTAAACAATTGAAAGGTCACATCCCTGAGACTGCGGAATGGAATTTTAATTAGAATTGAAGTCAGTCAAATACGTGAATGCACTTAGCGATATTATAATCAAATATCCTTACGAAACGCTAATTGAAATGAAAGTATGAAAATCAAGCTTAAATTTCGTTTCACGTGTTCGTAATATGCACGTGGTTTTACTTAAGTCTGCGTTTTAGTCCACTTTTGTTAAAATAAATATATTATTTCTATGATGATGTATAATAGAAACTACCTTTTCTCTTCTTTTCTACGTAAGGGATTCTCGTAGGTTTTTACCGTGGTTTTTATGATATTTACTGAGGTACTTGAGTATGTACGTACCTACTTAATTTCTTTTGACATCGCTTAAGATTTCTTTTTAAAACTAAAACATTTTTCGAGGTTTGGACCACGTCCACGGCCCAAAGTCCGTGTGGATCCACAGAGAGCTGTTAATTGTTGAGGAAATGAAACTACTTTTTATATGGGAAGAAATAGGATGGTTTGCATTCATATTAGACATAACTGATTGATGCCTTTACCATCTCTGCCAGTCGTGATCATCGGACTTGTAAAAAGCCCGAAGCGTTGGTTTTGAAAAAACATTCATACGCGACTACACGCGACGCGTGTAGATTCGAAAAAAAAGAAAAAAAAGATTTATTTCCAATATGTAACAATCGCGAAAATATAAGAACTCGGTATGTTACGCCACCTGTTATTGAGTATTATTGTATACTAAAAATACCATACATTTTCTTATTTAAGTAGTATGCATTTATCTAATTTCAGGTTTGCAATAAACATTGGATGCGGCGAAGATTCGGGTCAATCGGACATCGCAGTCCATTTCAACGTGCGCATGCCGCAATGCTACGTTGTCAGGAACACGCGCCGCAATGGAAAGTGGGGACCAGAGGAAACTACCGCATTCAGGTATGTATCACTTACAAGTTGTCGTCGAACGTCAAACTGTCGTTTACGAAACCGAACCGAAATGACGTCACACCCGAACTTCTCGACCCGCAAAGGCTACAAACGTTATTCAGAACACAGTTATCGAATGAAAGTTACCGAACGTCCGATTGTTTACAAACCAAGAATGTGATATGGAAATTTCTTAGTCTTTTAAATGAAGTCTGGATTTTGTTCAATTTTATTAATTTATTTTAATGCAAGACTAATGCATTCCTATATTTAAAGTTTTAAAAATGTATATAAAAGGATTTTAATTTTACTATAATCTATTTCACCGACTAACTCCGTAAACGCTGTTGGATAACGATAGCGTCTCCGAATCTAACTGGAATGTTCTGGAAAGCTCCAAAAGCGCCCTTCGATTCGAGGTCGATATCCAATCGAACGATTTGGTTAAAACACAGACATATATCTAGATATCTAGATATATGTCTGTGTTTACATATATCTAGATATATGTCTGTGAATTAAACTATCGAAGAGTTCTGAATCGGAGTCCAGGTCCTATTGTTACTGTCTTAATTGAAATAGGTATTATTTTTAGTGTACTTTATACTATGCAGGTATTTACTAGTATGGAGCGGTTGATTTTATATCTGTATACGTAATGTAATTTTCAAAAACTATTTTCAGACCATTCCCATTCAAATTCGACAATACGTTTACGATTGAAATCCTAGTCGATGAACAGCAGACATCATGGGCAATAAACGGACTTCACTATTGTGACTTTGCACATAGAAACCCCAGCCCTTTGGACGCTAACTGGGTAGAGGTTTCAGGAATTAAAGATGCTACGTTAAACATACAGAAGACTGAGGTTTACCCTATGTTAGCACCTCTTCCTCCAGAGGTAAGTCTACGGAAAGTTTGTTTTGTTCATATAAAAACCAAATGAATGATTTTTTGCTAACATTAGTGATGACACTGTGGTCAAAATTACACAAGGTCTCAAAAATCATTACTACTATATACAACTCTTAAAAATTCAACCTTTGTATAGACTTTACATAAGATACTACTACAATTTACTTGCCCATTAAATTGCTATTTATTATTCTCCAACAGGTGCCAGCTAGACAAAGTGTAGACGCTCCTGCTGAGAATGAACCCAGCTGGCAACGCAACGTTACGGCGGTTCTGCCTAATGGCATACCAGAAGGACACCAGATTGTTATTAGTGGAAGGTGAAGTTTCGAAAGGCATTTCTGCACTTAATAAAGTAAGATAGTAGGAAGGTACTGGGTACATATAGCACGCATATGTAGAACTGCGTAGTTGACCTGCTATCGGAGTAGATGGGTTGATGTATTTTGAGAAAAAATTAAGCTTCTGATTGAACATTATTGATAACTTTGCTTTTTTATGAAAGTATACTTATTTTTTAACCTTCAAAAAAGGTGGAAGTTCTCAATTCAACTATACGTTTTTTTATATATGTTACGCGATAACTCCGGCAATTTGTCAACCGATTTTGATGATTCTTTTTTTTGTTGGAACGAAAATATTCCACCGCTGTAAGGGTGGCATACTAGAGGATAAATGACTTTTGAGGTCGGTTTTTTGGTTTTTTTGCTACTCTGTACTGATTATGAAATTGTACTATTTTTTTTATGAAACCGTCCTAATTTTTTTATGAAAGCACTTAATACTTATTTTTTTATGAATGTATAAGTACTGATTTTTATGAAAGCATGCTTATTTTTATTTTTGGTTTGTTTGAAAAACAAAAAATAAGCGATTTCGATCCCAAAAAATGTTTAATTTCCAATAAGTTCTGTTTTCTTATCTATAAATAATACTTTTTAAAAAACCGGAGGTTTTCATTCTTCAGACTCCGTCCAATACTCCACTCGTTCGCCATCGATCTGATGGATAAACCGCAAGAGTGGCCACGTCCTAACATACATGCACACGTGAACCTTCGAGCACAAGACGAATCGACGCGCGATCGACAGTTGGTCGTCCTGAATGCCTGGTACGGAGCTTGGGGCGAGGAGAGGCGGCAACGAACTGCGAGACTTATCCCGGGCTCTAAGGTACAAATTATTATTAGAATATGGAATCGCTAGCAGGACAACACACCATTTCAACACCATTTCGTACTCTCTTGTAGTCGTGTCATTACTCTAAACACCTATTATTTTTAACCGACTTCAAAAGAGGAGTAGCTTCTCAATTCGACTGTATTTTTTTGTAAGTATGTTACGCAAATACGATAACTCCGTTTTGAGAACCGATTTTGATGATTCTTAATTTGTTGGAAAAATGGTACCTCGGTAGTGGTCTCATTTAAATGTGAAAAAAATATCCCACCTCTAAGGGTGGAAAACTAATGAATCCGGTTTCGCGCACTTTCCGATGACCGATTTCAATAAAACTTGTCGAATAGATTGCAATTCCGCGCACTTTTGAGGTCGGTTTTTAGTACTCTGTACTTAGATTGCTTACTTCCATATCACTTGTTTAGGTACTGGCTTTTGGGCCGGGCAGATATAAATACTTTTTCACATTTTCTATTGCTCTATGACAATGTTTTTTGTCTATAGGCTCGCTCGGTTCCGTTTTTCTATTTAGTTGTTTTTTCTTAAAATATAATCGGTAATTATTTTACTTTGAACTCGCAGAAGACTGTTGTCTCTGCCTACCCCAATGGGAAAAAGGCGTGAAGTATATGTATGTATGTTGAGCTTTGAATTTTCCCTACTCCTCAAAAATGCAGTGTGTGTTGAAATTAAACTTGTTATAAATCGTAGGCTGCTGACAGATTGACTGCAGTTAATGCGTGAAGTCGTAGTCGTAGACTTCAATATAATCTTCCAAAATCACTTTCGTACATTTTATGTATAAAGTATAGATATGTTACATATCTATATTATAATGTATAATCACTACATATAATCACTACTTCGTCTGTCTAAAAACTGCTGAACGGATTTTCATGCGGTTTCCACCAATAGACAGAGTGCAGCTATTATAGTTAACTAAATTTCTGAATCGATTTCGATATAAGTTGGCGATAAAGTAAATTCATTATGTAGTCTACCATTATATGATGTGTGCTGAGAAAGGAGCGGCTGGCACTGACAACATGGCCTGGGGCCTAGGGTGACCAAGACTGCAAATCTGCCACTGACAATCTTGTACATTTATCTAAGTAAACAAAATCTGTAAAGCAGTACATTTTAACAATGTACACTTGATGAACGCATTAACAAATAATAGAGTTTCAAAGACTGATTGATTAATATCAAAATATTTATCTATTGCTTTTCATTTTATAGACTACGTTCAGACTCGTCCGATCTCCAGATGTATGGGCGGTATACGCGGATGGCTTACTCATAGGAGAGTTGGAATACCGAGCCTCGCCCGAAGGTGTGAAGGCTGTCAGGCTTCGCGGTGACCTCTATGCAGAACATATTTACACGTGCCCGGCAACAACGTCACCAGTGGGGGAAGATATTGTACAGCGTTCATAAACATCACACTTATTAACGCTGAGTCGAAGAAAAAGCTTTTAAGACCGTGCAACGTCTTCGTTTTTTTTCTTTAAAGTTCTTTAAAGTTTTTCGTTCTTATTGCATTGACATAAAGGTTTTTTTGACCGGCGTAATGCGATTCTATGCGCTGACTTCCTTTTGGAAAAGCTCTTGACAGGGGCCCACTGCGAATTATTGCACCATCCATGTTGATTTAATTCCTTGAAATTGATAATTTACTAAAGCGTGAAATAGACATAGAGCGGGTCAGGCGCGTGTCGGGTCGGGAGCGCGACGGATCTAATGCCGTAGACCCGCCGCCGTGCTCCCGAACCGACACGCACCCGACTCGCGCCCGCTCTTTGTGTGTTTCACGTTTAATCGTGGCACTAAAATATCCACATGAATTACAGAAAGAGTGTAGGTAATTTGTTCAAGAGCATTTATTTTATATCTATAATTTTGATGTACATTTTTCTTTTTATCGTTTTATTATGCCTCATTACGTAGGATATAAGTAATAGGCTTTATAATCATAGGTAGATAGGTAACTAAGAAGATGGACAAAAATGCCACTCCTGCCTGTCGGTGTTGACAATATGACCCTATTATATTGGTCACCAATAAAAAAACTGTGATAAGACTACACGAGTAAGAATGGTTTTCGAATAACTAGTTATATTTATATAATAATATAAATATAACTAGTTATTCGAAATAAAACGAAATAAATCGTGCTGCCTTTTTTGTAATTCGACGCTTGCATTAATCTCATGACATGTATATTTTTGTTATTAACGAACTAAAAATGATATAATATTTGTTAATAGGTGTTACTTATAATAAGCATAAAATTATGTTGTTAATAGTAATCTATGCTTAGATATAAAGTTTCACATTGGTTCACTGAACATAACATACAAGTACTGAGTACCGTATCCACACTAAAGGGAATATTTTAATATCTAAAAATTATGAATTCAGTGAACATACTTATTTTTTTAACATAAGTTAAGCAAGATGTTATTACTTCTACTTATCTAACTAAAATTAAAGGAAAAATAAATGTTACGTCTGTTAAAATGTACTGTTTGCTTTCTAAAAAAATAATAAATATCGCATCGCGGACAACATTATAAAAGTAACATTGATATGAGAAATTGACAAATAGAGTTTGAGACTTAAATGGCACCAACCGAATATAACAATAATTCTATTTGTAGGTAATGTATTAATATTGTGTAATTTTATATATTTTATGCGTTATTATTCTAAGATTTTATTAAATTATTTTTTTTACTTTCCATTCACTTATTTTCTTAGAATAATAACGCATAGAAACCTAGCCCGCACACGCTAAATGAGGCAAATTGAAGCGCTGCCAAAGGGCCTACACGAGCGGGCGGGCCTCCAGTGCTCAAGGTCAACTTGCATCGCGAACAGCTCCAGAATTTTAGCTAAAAATGACGAAATGTGCGGTAAATGAGTGTAAAAATACGTCAGACAAACATAAAATAGATACTAACATCACATTCCACAAGGAAGTAACGCGTTTCAACTTGTATTTTTATATAAATATTCACTAAAACCGAAAATTAACGTACTACTAAAACTAGCCTACATGAATTTGATTTTTGCCTCACTTGTTCACTTGTTGTTGTTGTTGTTGTTGTTGTGACAGTTCGTTTGGTATGAAACTATCACTCTATGCGTTATTATTCTAACTTTAACACAATAAATATTAAAGTAATGATACATCATATTCGATATATAATATTTATTTATTTTTTATAATATCTGGTGATGGGACGATGGTAAGCTACACGCCTGTCCATAACAGTTGCAGTGCCACTCAGAGCTTTAAATCACAAAGATCTGAGGGGGACTGCCACTGCGCCCGTCACCCTAACGCATAGGTTGACGAGTCCCTTACCCTTCAAAATCGGAACACAGTAATGCTGACATCACTGCTTGGCGGCAAAAATTGTTAAGGTGGCAGTACTTACGTCGACGAACTCTTTCACAAGGAGCTCTACTGCTGCTAAATATGTGCATACATAGCGCTATGTTAATTTTCATTACGGGCGCTCAGTCGAGTGTCGACATAATATACCTGTAAACAAGGATTTCTTTATTTGTTTCGGCAATCAATTACTAAATAACAAATAAAATGCTAATGTAAATTAGTTAAAATTTTATTACACCAACGACTTAATGACACCCTGTAAGGGCGTATTAAATTAAACTAATTATATGTATAGGAACATTTCAACAAATTAAACTAATTACATAGAAACATTTCAAAACTTAAATTTTTCTTTTTATCATTAGAATTTGTTAGGCAGGTACCAAAATTTATCAACTTGTATAATCTTCGTAACATTATCTGTTGGCTCGATGAACATTGGAGCTAAAGAGAACGTCGCTTCTTAGGCGAGGAACAGTGTGGGGCCCAAAACACTTCCTTGCGGAACGCCGTAAGCTATGGGCAGGTCATGACTAATTACCTCACCCACCCTAACTCTTTGCCATCTGTCAAGTAGTCGGTAAACAAACGAAGCTGATTATCCCTTATACCCATATTTTCCAACTTCTGGAGTAGTAGTGGGACAGAGACTGTATCGAAAGCCTTGGCTAGATCTAAAAACATTGTGATAACTTTTTTCCTCCATTCCAGTTTAGTGACAATTTGATTAATCAAGTCATGAACCGCATCATTTGTCGAAATACCGGACCTAAAACCAAACTGGGAACGGTATAGAAGAGATTTAGATTCTAGATAGTTAACCAAACGCTTTTAGATTCTAGATAGTTAACCAAACGCCGGTTTAAAAGTTTTTGAGATGGGTCTATAGTCGTTGATACAGTTGATCTCAGCAAGTTTGAATTCATATGGAACACCTGATGATAACATTAAATTAAATATATGAGGTACAGGAGGGACTATAATTTGTTGATACCGTTTGGGAAAGGCTCCTGAAATGTTATCACGTCCCGAATTGTTCTTTCTTCAAGTTTAATATGCAGTTATGAACCTCAGTCCCATCTACCAGGGTGAGAACAACAGAGCCAGGACAAGAGGGCGAGGAATGTCTATATTTAGGTAAACAACCGGATGAAATTTTCTCTGCGAGATTTTTTCCAATGTTTGCAAAGAAACTATTTATATCATTCGCTGATTTAGTAGGATCTTTAGGAGAAATTAAGTCGTCAGCTGGATTCGATTTTTTATTATAATGAGTTACTTTTTTTATAGTGTCCCAAAGCTTTTTAATATTTGTGTTAGCAGCCTGTAATAATATAATTATATATTAATAAGTAATTAATACCCTTTTGAGTTTTTTTAATAGCCAATTACAAAAATTTCGGTACCGTTTATACGTTATAGTTAATATTTCGTTGTAAGAGTTTTTTTTAAGTTTTGTATACCTACAGTTTATCTCAATTTTTCGTACACTTTAAGAGACCAATAGTAATCCAGGGCTTTTTTATTCTTTTACGATTGGAAACTGTTACAATTTTAGTATTTAGTTGGATTTTTGACTCAATTTCAGATAATAGTAAAGAAGTTGCCAGATTGGCATCAGTACTTTCAAAGACAGGGTTTAATTTAAGTGTTTTCATGGCTTCATCCAAATTCCCATAGTCAATCTTTTTAACCTTAGGTAATGTACGAATGTTGTATTTTAAAATGAAAAATACAGAATAGCGATCCGTAACTGATGTTTCAGCAACATAGCAGAATGCAGGGAGTGTGCTCTTGAGCATAACATGATTCAAGTAAGTTTTCCATGTGTTGGGAGAGAGTGTGCTGGTAAGATACTATGGGAGGCTAGTAAATTTGGATAAGTTTTAGTAAATTTAGATAAATAAATAATCAATTGACATAGATATTGCATCACTATTTTTATAATTATTATTATATGTATGTATATACATATTAAAAAATAATAACAAATGTACCCACAGTATATACTGTAGGTACATTTATGTCTTATTATAATTTTAATTAGAAGTAGAGACAAAAAATGAATTAATTAATCAAACTATTTATCATCAAAAAATTCAGACATAATAATTTTTTTTAATGAGGAAATCCTTAAATTTTTTTTCGAAGACCATATTTTTGTCTAAATCTTTGATATAATTAGGGATATGATTATATATTTTTATTATTAATGGGAGGGGAGGATGAAAATAGTCTTAAGTTAGAGTAAGAAAGTTTTTTATTATGATAACGATTATTACGTTGTATTAACTTTACTGGAGAATATAGGTCTGTAAGTTTTTTGACGAACTTACAGGCTTCAGTAGACAACAACTTGACTGATAGTGCAATTCGCATCATCAACAGCCTATCGCAGTCCACTGCAGGACATAAGGCTCTCGCTGATCTACATAAATTCTGACGTAGTTTGGTATATTCGATTAGGCACTTAAAGAATTCGCAAACGCCGACAACTATTTGTTTCTCCCGAAGTAATGAACTATAGGTACCTATTTGATTAGTGAGATGACGCTCTTGGTGCAGTGATTTGATTACAAAAGAAGTCATACTTTGCGGTGTGCGATATCTATGCTCTTTGTACTCAATTCATGATGCAACTGCTACCGAGTGCCGCTGCCACGGCCGGTAAGCTCTGAAATAAATAGAAATTAATATTCTGTGACTGACGTTATAAAAAATTGTACAACCAAAACTTTTCCCGACAACGCGTGCGGTACATACAGCGAGCGTGAAATGGAACGAATTCAACATTGACATCATGATTGTTGTTTGCCTGCACTGTTGCGAGATTAGGCGATTTTTCGCGACTTCTTGGCGACTTTGAGGGGTCGCGCGGCGACTAAATGGTCGGCGACTCGGCGATATTTAGGCTATGTTTGAAATAGGAAAAGGTGGTTTTAGGCTATCAAATTTTATTAGGGATTTTGTAGAGAATGGAGTTGTGAATTAATTCATTTGGGGATGAACTCTCTTATTTCCCTAATTCCCTAAAATCCGGCAACAAGCAGAATTGTTTTGTTTTTCTTGATTTTTAGGAATTTTAGGGCTTGGGCGAATATCAGCTACTTAACATCTTAGAGGATGGACTTAACATGCATAAATTGGCGAATTAACTTCACAAAAGTCTGGCAACACTGTTTCCCCAGTTTGACACTTGGATTCGCTCTGGACCTTTTGGAGGGAAAAGTGTCGTTTTTATTTTGACTTTCAATTATTTTGTGAAATCTAGTTTAAAGTAGAATAAGATAGTGATATTGTGCCTTAATCGAAGATTAAAAGGAGAAATTATACAAATCTCGAACTAAAATACCCGTATCGGCCCGTTCTAAGGAATCCAAGCACGCCGCCCATTGACTTACAAATAAATGGACGACGGGTCTAATACAAAAACCACGAAAAAAATGTCCCAAGTCAACCTATTCGAAATTTAAATTGTAATGTCGTCGCAGTATCGCGCTGTCAGTAGAACAAATGAAGACTAAAGCGGAGTGTCGCGCTCTGTATACGATTTTAGCGCCTTACAAGTGTGGACACTTTTTAGCGCGGACCCGACGTCCATATAATTGTAAGTCAATGACGCCGCCTCAAATTGCCTATCCTCTTTGTGGTGGCCATATTTACAGAAATATAATTAAACGTTTATGTTTTCGGCTGAAGGTCTTTGTTTCCATGGCCAGCAATAATTTATATAAAAAAAAAGTTTGACACTTCACTTGACAGCATTGTGACAGCAATCAGCTGTCAGTGAGTTTTCGTAAGTTTTCGCGTGAAATTTTGAATTAAAGTAACTAATAATATCGACTAAAAAGCTATAATTAATTTTTCCTGGTCATAGCTATTCCTGTCATTAAATAAATTCTCTTCGAGTGACCGTAACAACAACAATATTGGTATGTGATTTTATTCTATGTATGACCTTGTCAAGGTGACCGATATCGTTGGTTGCCTATTCTGTGTAGTCGACGATAATGTTGTGCCGGTTGTTACAATTAGTTTAGTTAGGTCTTGTTAGCTGCAGAGGTCGGACTTGGGCTGTTGCAGAAACATGAGTGTGCAGACGGACTCGGATAAACGGAAGCAGATCTCCGTGCGGGGGATCGTCGCTGTGGAGAATGTAACTGAAGTGAAGAAGGCGTTCAACCGTCACGTTCACTACACATTGGTGAAGGATAGAAATGTTGCGACGCCCCGGGACTACTACTTTGCTCTTGCTCACACGGTCAGGGACCACTTGGTCTCCCGCTGGATTCGAACCCAGCAGTATTATTATGAAAAAGATCCCAAGGTAACATTCTAATTTTATTACGTTAGGTTATTGAACTTTATAAGAAACTTTCCTAAACCTTGTACATGATAATTCATTATTGTGGGTAATAAATTAATGATAGCCATCAATTAGCAATAACTTTCACTTTTAAATCAAAATACCAGCTTAATGAGTGAAATATATATTGTATGAAGGAATCTGATATGTATCTATAATTTTTGTATAATTAGAATCTTAATAAATTGGTGTCTAATAGAATTCAATCAAAATTACTTTATTTAAGATTGACTTTTAGCTCATCATAAAAACAATTCACAGTTGACAACTTAGTAACTATAATTTAGCTAATTCTGCTCTTTATAAAAATCTCAAACATTTCACGCTACATATTTATAAATGCAATCATAGATGATATAGTAGTAAACAAAGATACGACATAATCACCATTTCTGATTTACCTGCTCTCAAACTTGTTACCCAGCCCTACAAAAAACATTACCTGTCTTTTAAGTAACTGAAAAGTGAGTCAGCAGTTTGGCAGCACCACTTGGAACACCCAGGATAGATCAATTTATTTTATTGTTTAGAGCAGTGTAAATAATTGTTACTTTGGAAATGACTTTTTTACCAATTCAGATATCACATGTATTTGTTTTTCTAACAAACCAGCATTTCGGGCTCTTTGCAGATTGGTCGTGGTTGACCATAATCTGACTGTAATTTTAAATCTGGAAAAGTGTAGCAATAGTTAGAACTTAAAAACGTAGTACTTCCCATTTAATGAATAGTTTCCTTGAATTGCATCCACCCGTTGAAGAATTTGAGTCTTGGGACTTAAATCTTAAAAATATTGTCATTTTCTAAATTACTGGTATCTCTTGCAGCGTGTGTACTACCTCTCTCTGGAGTACTACATGGGCCGGTCTCTCCAAAACACCATGATCAACCTGGGTATCCAAGGTACAGTAGATGAAGCCCTGTACCAGTTGGGTTTGGACATTGAGGAACTGGAAGAATTGGAGGAAGATGCAGGTCTGGGTAATGGAGGTTTGGGCCGTTTAGCTGCCTGCTTTTTGGACTCAATGGCTACTTTGGGACTTGCTGCATATGGTTATGGTAAGTTTTTTAAATTTTTATTTATTTCTCCACAGATATACAATTTATACTTATGCTAAAGACCTTGCCAACCTAGGCATCAGGTTGTTGGCAAGACAATGCTCTTTTACATTACCTTTATGTATATCTATTCTAGTTAATTCTTCATTAAATTTATATATATATGTATATATATATATATATATATATAATTACATTAAATACTAGCTAATTTTCTTAAGTAAAACTGTCTTTGTTTTGTGTTCTGTTCTAAATAATACTATCTCTAATCATAATATTTATTTCACTAAAACATTACATCACTTAGCAATAATTTTTTAAAATTTCTTTTTCAACATTTTTCACTAACCTTCGTACTTTTTCTGAGCCAGTCTATTTTATTGTATATTTTTGGTATAACATATTTATCAGTTTTTTTTCCAAAATTATTATTAACTTTACATTTATTTAATTTCCTTTCTTTAACTCTTTTTGTGTTATACCTGTTTATCCTCACTCTTATAATAATTTTCAATGGCTTTCGCAAATTTTACTTTTTTATCAACTGGCAATATTTTACATATTTTAAATAATTTTTCATAATCGTCTTTATATTTTTCCTTAGTGTTTTTATCTACCAAAAATTTTATTAATCTCAACGAGAATTTTTTTAATATCCTGGATATATCCGTTTTGTAAGTACGACCAAATATACTTAAACAATAGCTAATCAACAAGTCAGCCAGTGCATAGTATACCACAAGCAACATCCACTTATTCAATATTCTAATTTTTTGATAAAATTTATTAAAAATATGTGTTAACTTAGTACAAACATAATTAATATGCATTTTCCAATTAAATTTTTGATCTATTTCCAACCCTAAGTACCTAAAATTGTTTACTAATTCAATATTATCACATTTACATCTTTATTTTATAATTTATAATTATGCAAACACTCATACGAATGGCTTTGTTTGTATCTTTATATATTTTATTTATTCATTTAATCGCTTATTACACAGGAAAAACACAAAAATCAGTCATAAAAGGAAGACACAAACAAAAGATTCTTGTTTCTAAAATATTTTTTTTAATCTTATTTTTAATAAGGTCTGTAACACTTGGGTGTCAGTGTCGGCCTTGTGATATCAATGCCTGTGGATTATATTATTCTACTATATCGTGTCGCCTCGTACTGAGAGACAAGACCTCTCATATGAGTATAGAGTTTTAACCCTATTCGCTAATGGTTCACCCATCACGACATTTAACTCCCCAACCTATCAATATATTCCCTAGTTGAAATTCGCTCCTTAGAGCCACACAATGGCCACATTCCATTAAATGTAGCATATCTTCAAGTTTGTTACAGAATTTACATAGCGGAGATTCCGCTCTTTTTATTAGATGGTAGAACTTATTTCAGGGAAGGTACCAAACAGGTCACAGTAACTAAAATAATGTAATATGAATACGATACAAAAACATGAAATGGTTATTTACTGTATAAATACTTCGTTACATACGTATTTCAAAATACAATACGATGACGAATAAAATTTAATGACCTCTGTGGTCGAGTGGCTTGCACACCGGTTTTCTTGGTGGCGCCATATCTGAGGTTCCGGGTTCGATCTGCGGCCAGGTCAATGTAGAAAACTAAATTTTCTATATTGTCTCGGATCTGGGTGTTTGTGGTACCGTCGTTGTTTCCGATTTCCATAGTTCAAGTGCTTTAGTTACTTACTTTGGGATCTGAGCAATGTAAGCGATGTTGCCTAATATTTAATATTTATCTATTTATTCAATACCTATGAAATGGATAAATAGTAGATAAATAATGCTCCTTAACTCTCGTTTTGAAAATAGCTAGCAATTTACTTTTGTGAACAGTAATAACAAATATACTCCAATGTTGTCTTCCAAATCTTCAATAGATAAAATAATGCAAGTATTAATAACTTCCGATTTTGTTCGAAAAATCACATAGTTCAAACACACCCACACTAACTAATAATACTGAGTATGTTTATATTTCTTACTAAAATATTTTGTTTATCCAAGAAATTAACATCCTTTGAAAAGGCACTTCTAGATGACATTGAAATAAAGTATATTTTCGTCGGCTTATTGCAAGAAGTCATTAACTATTTATATGGCAGTTAGTGACTTCTTGCAATAAGTCGACGTTTTAATAACATTTCATTAACTACTTACTCTGGAAGACTCAATATGTTTGTTTCGTTTTATTCCTTTCAATACAAGATGAAGTCACTATTAACAATGGAACTAATTCTTGAATTTATATGTAGATTTGAAATTGTTATTGAACATTAGACCTTAAAGACTTCGTAAATATTGTCGATTTGCAGATTTGCAACTTCGGTCTAAAAATGTCTTGATTGTGAATACCATGTGCGTGGAATTCAGAACTATTGTTCTAGCGTAGCGTTATTACGCTATATAGAATTTTTACCGCTAATATAATCTGTAATACTAATTGAACCAGTCGACAATACTTACTGGCGCCTGGCCAATTACAAATGTGTACACAATATCGGATGCTATCATGTTCCTAAATTTGTAAACATACCATGTCACCACAGTTTCTTTAAAAATACTGAAATTATACACAAAGTTATTCTGCGAACTTCAAATCTTTAAATTAAGAACATTCTCTTTTCAATTTACATTGAGCTAATATGCCTGGTTGCCATATAAGGTAGACTACATTACTACTTGGCACACTATGCAAATGAGTACATGTTCACTATTTACTATAGTAGCATAAGTGTCTATTGCAATTGTTTATGGTTAACTGGGCTTGTTAGCCGACAAAATAATGCGCAATGGTGTTATTTGCGAACAAAGGAAATTTCAAACCTCTTACACTTTCGACAGCATTTTTTAAAACCTCGATGTCTTTCCATTCGCCGTGTATTTTTTTATTTATTTACTTGGTGTATGTATCTATTACGGCAAAGTCCGCAGGGTCTGCACAATCAACACTGCTCTAGCATTGTCAACTTTGCACAAAGTCTATACGCAAAGTCCACAAAAAGCGATCTTTAGACAGCTTTGCCTAGATAGGATAGATGATAGGCGTTGTCAACACTGCTACTCGTAAATATGTATGTATATATGTCGGAAGGCTCAACTTGCTAACCGTACTTAAGTGCATGTATTGTGTTTCCTGTTTCACTGGTTCTTCGAGGTGCGAGGGCTGGTTCATCGACCATTTCGGACCTTATTTGTGACGTATATCTATTTATTAATGTAATATTGATAATGTACAGTAGACAAGCTATGTGTAACACTTGCGTAATGTTAGCAAAATCATCAACGTGGGCCTGTTTAAATTGCGCAAAGTACGCGAGTAAATGACAACTATAATATAATAAGATAATAATCGAAATAGTAACATATCCAATATAAAATCCTTCAGGTATAAGGTACGAATACGGAATCTTCGCTCAAAGGATCGAAAATGGTGAACAACAAGAAGATCCCGACGACTGGCTGCGGTACGGCAATCCATGGGAGAAGGCACGGCCTGAATTCATGATCCCTGTCAACTTTTACGGACGTGTAGTTGACACCCCCCAGGGCAAGAAGTGGGTTGACACGCAGGTAATTTGTTTCTATATTCGTCTTACGTAGCTACTTTTAGAATTCTTGTGTCCACAGGAGACCCAATTAATGTTAGGTAATGGAAAAAAACCCATTTTGAAAAAAATAAAATAAAATATATAAAGATCATATATTTTTACACATTTGACAGCGACACTTGTTAAAATTGAAGAATTGAATTCATCTTCAATAAGATAATTTGAAAATAGCCAAGCAGGGTTTAGAAAATTATATTTGACAATTTTTATACAATTTTATTTAATAATTTATGCTAAATAAAACTTTAAAATATATACCTAAGCATAGAACATTTATATGTCTTCGAATTATATATTTCAATTTCTTCCACTATTTAAAATTTTTTGGAAAATTACCCAACACTAGACCCAATACACGCACGTCTATTCCTGCTACTTTTACGGGTATATAGATTTAGGCTCAAATTACAAAAATATGTAATTTGAGCCTATAGCTATGCTATGCCGCGGAGTGAGTGAGAGAATCGAAGCGAATTTTTGCAAGGAAATTGTACACAGCGTAATGAGCTTTATGTAAATTGTGTAAGGTACAAACCTGATACGATACGGTAGCTACGGGAATTCCCGAATTACCGCGAGAATTCTCTGGAAAACGCGCGACCCCTTTTTTTTGGCTCGCATCTAGTTTGTACGTTACACCATTGCAGATTGATATAAAGTTCATTAAACTATCGTTACAAAAATTCGCTATCTTTCGATTCCGCGACATTGTAAATTGAGGCTTACTTTAGTCAATATATATATATATTTGTAGTACACGATGGTTATTTGCGATATGGTTGATATGTATTTTATATACTTATTTTGAGTGTTAGTAGGTCTATGATCAATTAAAAAGCCAGTAAAAGCAAGCAACAACTTATTTAGAAAATGTTACTAACTCACTTTGATGTTCTGCTAACTAACGTAATACTAACGTAATCGAAAATATCTGTGAATCAGCGAAACGGGATCTACAATCCCCTATAAGCGATTTTTCTATATCTTATTTAGATTCAGTTTTGTTGTGAATAAACTCAACGCAATCGACATTTTAAAAAGAAAAAAAAACAAAGTTACCCAAATGCGTTAGATATGACAAGGGGGCAGCATTGTTCTTTAAATGTATTTTACAAAATTAATGTAAGATAAGGTGTAACACCATGGGGTATTAATTCATACGACGCTTGGATAAAATATAAATTAAGAAATAGGTACACACATAAAAAATATAAAAAAGAAATGCGAAACTATTTAAACAACATTTTAGGAATGTTGAAATTAAAATTCATTTACAGTTATGAAAATTAGTGAAAACAATTAACTGTCATTGAAAAGATAACAAATCGAAGGTTTCTCAACGGTATTCTTTTTGATTTGTTAGTTTACAATCAATTGCATAGATGGCACTTCTTTCAATTTATTCTCGAAATTAAGTAACAATAATAATAATATTTTTTATTTCTGAAGTGTAGTCCTATATTTACACAATAAAACACATAATAAAATCAGTAATAAAATTAAAACATAAAATAATTCAATCTAAACCCAAAAATAAAACATAAGATCAAAATAATAAAATACAGCAGCTAATAAAATTTGTAATTATTATTTATTTAAAACTAAAATTACTAAAAGTTTGAAAGATAAAATATAAAAATAAAATAAGATTGTGTAAACAAATGATAATTACATAAACATGCACTTATTTCCTATTCGCACTCTGGTGCACGTTTCGCCAGTGTTTAAAAACGTTAAAAAGAAACGTTTTAGCAATAATTTTTTATTTAAAATATTAAAAGTAACTGACTCAGCTTCTTTGCGATTTTATTATAATGTTATTGAATAGAGTAATATCCTTGACAGTTATGTAAGAGCTGCCATCTGTTGGCCTTTTCAAATATTACAATCGCATCGCGGATTTATTTGGCACCATCTGTTGATCAGCGTTAAGAATCAAAATAAACGTCCGACTAAGCGGAGTTACGAGTAGATATTTCTTTGTATGAGATTGGGCATCTGTACTAGTACAGTATTATATCGTCTGCTTAAAAGTAAAACCACATAAGTGACATTTTCCACAAAAAAATCTCCAAGTAAAGCAAATAAAACTCTTGTTAAGTTTGAAGCTTTTTGATATTGAACTTCACATGCAGAAAGATAGTGATTGTCTTACTATAGCTATATAAATTAAAGACTTTTTGTAGAAAATGTCACTAATTTGGTTTTACCTTTAAGTAGACGATATTATCTGTGGTGCTTCTAAGGGTAATTCTGTATTTATAACTGTTCTAACGGGTTATCTAAGCAGTTCATGTAACTGTTACTGAACTTAGCTAATGAGGGCTTACTAAATATAAACATTTTATCGTCATCTACATGATTAGTGTTTTAAGAACCTAGTTATCGCAGTACATGTACCTAATATTTGTAATCTCCCCGTGTAATCCACTTTTATACTTACAACATAACACATTCGAACATATTAGTATTTAAGGTTTAAGATTTTTATCAAAATGCATTGTTTGGGTCGTGTTCAGATAACCTCCAAAAATGTGTCCCTTTTAATAACTTTTATGTTATTACATGAATGCTAAACATTATTTATTTAATATGATTGCTTGCTTACTTAGTCTGTGTTACACATAAAAAGACTACTTTACTACGTCACAGTAATGAATAAAAATTAAAAAAGTGGGCAATTTCTCATTCATGGGAGCCGGTTCCACATCGCCCTAATTTTAAAAAAAGAAAAATAAACACTCGTGGAAATCGCAATATTTCACATCGAGGATAAACTCTAATAACTTTCACGTCGAATACATACCGTAACTTTCCAATTTATTATAAACAAACATGTTTTCTTGGGAATACAAAATATGTTTCCATTTTTCTTATCATTAGTGTCACTTCAACTAAAAGCCTCCTAATAACAAAAGTTTATACCGCATCACCTTCACCCTTCGCACACGTGAGAAGGGGCTCCTGTCGAATTGGAGTGTACACAGTGAAGTAACCTGTGCATCTCCGTTTTAGCAAAAATTCGACTTAAATGCCAATTTCAACGCTAGTGACTAAATCGTTCTCATTCATGTAAAGCAATCTATCTAAATAAGTATTAAGTAATAGTTTTATAAACTTTATTGTACATCAATCAGACAAAGGGAACTTTAAAATCCATGCACTTTTATAACGGTCCAGCATATTTTACACACTTGACAATTAAAAATGTATCCAAATGTCATTATTGTCGCTCTCATTCTTGTCTACTTTTAAGTCAAATAGTTACTTTAAGCCAATCATTTACTTGAAATATAACAATTAGATGGTGATAGTGGTAGTGATGACGGTGGTGACGATGTTGATGGTGGTGATGATGACGATGAAAATTGTAGAGATGATGACGATGATTGTGATCATGATGTGAACGGTAATGATGCTGATGATAATGGTGATCATGATGATGATGTTGATGGTGGTGATGATGATATATTGATGTACAACAAAGTTTATATGACATTAACAAAATACTTCTTTAGATTTATTAATTAATTACATATAGATAGATAGATGGTCTTCCACGGATGAGAAGGATTTTGATATTAAAATATTTGTTACATGTTAAATGATGTTAAATGTTCTTTTGTGAACGATAAAATCTATTACCATTTGAAATTAGTCGGAGCTTTTCGTAACACACTGTTAGAGTTAATTCAAAATCGACCGACTTAAAAAGATAATAAATTACCACAGCCAAAAAACGTTAGGAAAACTTCATGTCTGCTTAAAAGGAAAACCACATTAACAGTTTTTCAACACGCGCCTATATTTTAGGAGGTGAGGCGTGAGGGGTCACCCCTCGCGTCTTTCTATCCGCGCGCCGTAAATTTGTATGAATAAAATAAAAACAGTCAGAGAATGGCGGAGAACGCGGGATGTCGTTAACGACATTTAAGGCAAGGTGCAACCTTTGAGGCAATTTGCAAATTTTGCATAAACATAAATTTAATAATCAATAGGGCTTCAGTTGAAAATCAAAATTTTGCAGGTTCTCTGCAGTAGTTAAAGTTACATATTTTATTGTTAAATAATTCGTTCTGGACCTTTATTTTAGCTTGTTTTCAGGATTTTCAGATAAAGTACATCCTATTGTGTAACACATTCTTTAAATAGTATTAGGTGTTTCGTATATTTTTTATAAAACCTTTATTTAATAGTAAATACATAAACCATTTCATATAGCAAAACAGTTTTTCCCGCTGCTCCTCCCAAAAAAATCCGTTTTACTTCCAAAAAAATCCTGATTTCTTACCATAGCTATAAAATTTTGTGTTTTTGTGAAAAATACCGTTTTTGTAAAAAAAATGTAATGAAAATGAAATGCAAAACCAAACAAAATAACAAAACAAATGGTTATGTGGTTTTACATTTAGGTAGACGTCTTTGTGGAATATTTACATGATGAGGTAGCTTAGCAAGTAGAGGTTCATGACCTCTGCCGACCCTAGTAAGAGGGCCTGACTCGTGGTATAACGTATATTTACATTGAAATTTTATATCAGCGTGACATTCTCAAATTCTTTCGAGCGTGAGAAATATACATTTCTCGTGTTCGATATTTTGATAAGACCAACTCAGATATAGGCACGTGCTTGTATTATGAACAGTAGTTGGTTTGTTAATGGTAGTTTGATAAACGATATGTGATATCTAGTGGCCAGATATTCGGCTGCTTTTATACCTAAAGTTCACTTTCTCCTGTTTGTTAAAACTATGGAAGCGGCTTTATGAAATATATATTTTCTTCTTTTAAATACCGGGTCGCCGGAATGGCGCGACTTGTAAACGACTTTTGTATTTTGAATACATAAGATTTTGGCCTATTATAACTCTTAAAGGTCTTATGATGACCTGGTATATGACAACTGGATCTCAGTACTGTGAACAGCTAGAAGTGTCAAATTTAAATTTTAACGATTTTTTCTTGATGTCCGAACTTTTCAAATTTTTCTCTTTCTATGTATGATTAAGGTTAATCTAAATGTCATGGTGATATTAGCAGGAGCTCGGAATTGCATATGTAGTGGTCTGGTATTTCTGTGTTTACAGAAAACTTGTGATTGTATTTGTGGTTTTTATGTGAATGGCATACCACTACATAATTGCAATTCCGAGCTGTTGCTAATATCACTATATATATAATTACAAAAAGGTTTATTTTCCTTCGATTTTATACTTAATAATTTCGGCAATCCTCGCGTCGGCGTCGCGGGACTTTTTCGATACAAAATCACATCTCGTGATAGCTAGCAACCGAATTGTAATATATTAAGCTTCCGAATATCCGACCATCAGTGGTAACATAAGTAACTATTTTTAATTTATGGTCTTGTTTAAAGGATAGTAAGTGCAGTGTAGTACAAATATCAGTTTCTTATAATTTACACGCTATTCACTAGTGCAGCTCTATTATTTAGAACCTTATTTTAAAGTCTACTTTAAATGTAGTTTGATAAAGTTCTAATCTGCACTTTTATTCGGTAACTAACGCTATTATCATTCGTAGAAAACGCGTGAGACATTCGAAAACAACGGAGCGTCACCGACTTATTATTGATATCGCATCGTGAACTTTAAATGATCAATGAACTTCTTATCAGCCGCAATAGTAAATATTTTCCGTTCATGATTTAATGTCTCCGTACACTACCTTGACACATATCGATCATATCGATTATCTTCTTACACAAACAGATAGTGCAACATTTGACCGCTTAGGTAGGTAGATATTATTAAGCTTAGTTTGAAATAAAAAAATATGTATTTAATTTTCGTAGGTGGTATTTGCGATGCCGTATGACAACCCTATCCCTGGTTATCAAAACAACGTAGTGAACACCCTACGCCTTTGGTCCTCAAAGAGTCCCATCGATTTCAACCTTAGATTCTGTAAGTATTATTGCGAGATAATTTTGTTAATTTAGGGAGATGCCACACGGCCGTTGCGTCGTCGCAACTGCGTTGTACTACACATAAATCAGAACGACATGCCATACGGTGCGTTGAAACAGCGCGCGTCGACATTCTGAATTATATGTAGTACAACGCAGTTGCGACGACACTACGCCGCCGCAACGCCCGTGTGGCATCTCCCTTAGTTGATTGATTGCATTGGACAACAAATTGAATGTTCATTGTATTGACTATTAATCTGATTTAGTTACTATTAGTTGAAATAATGCCGTTTAATATTTCATATTGATTTTATTCCTTTTTAGTTAACTCCGGAGACTATATACAGGCAGTGCTGGACAGGAATATAGCTGAGAATATTTCCCGAGTCTTGTACCCCAATGACAACTTCTTCGAAGGAAAGGAGCTGCGTCTACGACAGGAGTATTTCATGTGCGCGGCTACCCTCCAGGACATCGTTCGCAGATACAAGGCGTCAAAATTTGGTTGCCGCGACGCCGTACGGACTTCCTTCGACCATCTCCCTGATAAAGTGGCCATCCAATTAAACGACACTCATCCAGCGTTGGCCATCCCCGAGTTGCTCAGGGTCTTGGTCGATATCGAGAACGTCCCATACGACGAAGCCTGGAAGTTGGTCGTCAAGTGTTGCGCCTACACTAATCACACCGTTCTCCCCGAAGCTCTAGAAAGATGGCCGTGCTCCATGATACAAAACGTACTGCCAAGGCATATGGAGCTGATCTACTTGATTAACTTCAACCATCTCCAGGATATTGAGAAGCGCTGGCCTGGTGACTTGGACCGCATGCGTCGCATGTCCTTGATCGAAGAGGAAGGCGAAAAGCGAGTCAACATGGCGAATCTTTGCGTCGTCGGTTCTCATGCCGTCAACGGTGTAGCGGCTATACACTCTGACATTCTTAAGGCTACAGTCTTCCGTGACTTCTATGAGATGTGGCCGGAGAAGTTCCAGAACAAGACCAATGGTATTACACCTCGTCGTTGGCTGTTGCTCTGCAACCCTGGTCTTTCTGACCTGATATGTGACAAAATAGGCGAAGAATGGACCGTGCATTTGGATAAACTGCAAGAGTTAAAGCGTTGGGCGAAGGATCCGGCTTTCCAGCGCACTGTTATGAAAGTAAAACAAGATAATAAACGTCGTCTTGCGTCGTTGATTGAGAGGGATACTGGAGTGAAGATAAACCCGGCGTCGATGTTCGATATCCAGGTGAAGCGTATTCACGAGTACAAAAGGCAGTTGCTCAACATTCTGCATGTGATCACTCTGTACAACAGGATCAAGCGCGATCCCAGCTCTGTGGTCACTCCTAGGACGGTAATGATCGGCGGCAAGGCTGCCCCTGGATACTACATTGCCAAGCAAATTATCGCTTTGGCATGTGCTGTAGGCAACACCGTGAGTACACATAATGAGTTTCTATTTGTGCCGTTTGTAAAAGTGAATTAAGTCCTGGCAATTAAATTTTGAAATAATGAGCTTTTAGCAAATTAATATGTAGTAATTTTAGTTCTCTGAGTAAAGTAGTAATGCCATCTATGGGATGTTAGTGCAATTATTGGAGTTGCTTCACTTTTATAATGAAAGATGACTAAATGTGATGCTTTTAAGCAAAAAAATATGTGTTTTTGAAAATATGGACTTCACCACTTTTATAATGATCGACACATTTATCTTTCATGCTTTTTTACTTTGAATAATGATTGGTTATGTTTGGCGCAGGTGAACAATGATCCTGACGTCGGCGATAAGCTGAAGCTGATATTCCTCGAAAATTACCGAGTGACTTTGGCCGAGCGAATTATGCCTGCTGCTGACCTCAGCCAACAGGTTAGGTTCTAATTTTTTAACTAAGTTAACCATCGCGGCGCATTTCTCTTTGCGTCTCAGGGCATTGAAATATGTACCTTATTTCAATTGAGTGTATGTATACATTGTATATTTTATGCTATTATTTATATAAATTTAATGTCCTCTGCCTTGCTGTCCGCCGGATTGTGCTGATGAGGACTTCTATGACTAGTTTCGTATTGCCCTTTACTGATATACAGATCTTGCAATGATATTGTTTTTTATTGGCAAAGAAATATTAAAAATAGTCTAATCCGGGTCGGATTAGATAATGTTGATTGTTAAGATTACATTGTCCGGGTTCTATTTACAGTTCAGTCTTATCGAATGATTTACAAATAAAATAACTGTAATATGCTCCTACAGATTTCGACTGCTGGCACTGAGGCGTCAGGTACAGGCAACATGAAGTTCATGTTAAACGGAGCTCTAACCATCGGCACAATGGACGGTGCCAATGTCGAAATGGCCGAAGAAGCTGGGGAACATAATCTGTTTATCTTCGGCATGAGGGTTGATGATGTGGAAGCTCTTAAGGCTAAAGGGTGAGTTATTGGCATCTGTCTGTTTATACTTAAATGTTCCAATATTCTAATCACGAAAGGTATGCCTTTTCCGCGTATAAGCAAGCTTCGAGTCGAGTGCAATTCTTAATCACCCCGCAACTAGGGCTTGGTAAGGGTAGTATATTGATTACCCACTGTACTTATAATTCCTGTACTATAGTTATACCTTGGATTCAATACACAAGCGTGCTAAGAAGCTTATAGGTGACTCGGACTTAGTAGAGGTGAAGTTCCAGAGCCTTGAACACCACCGTAGAGAGCTTATCGGTATTGTACAGGATATCACGGAGAGTGTGCGATGGAATTGCATAATTTGATTCCGCCTTCCCCTTTCCATCAACGGGGGACTCGACGTGGGCTGGGGTTCCACCCCTATGTTGTGGATATTCCCAGGATTCGCACGAAGCGTTTCGCTTTCACATATGTATGGCGAGCGGTCAGGGAGTGGAATTCCCTGCCTGCAGACTTGTTCCCCGAACGTTATAATTTGGACCTTTTCAAGGCGAGAGTGAATAGGCATTACTTAGGTGTGCATGCTACATCCTCGACCTCATCGTCACTTTCCATCAGGTGAGATGGATGTCAAATGCGCACTTATTTTTATATATAAAGAAAGTTCGTTTCAATCCGTTCTAGATGAAAAGTAAACAAACAGGTTTGATTAAAATTCTAAAGCAATCATTCAATAAATGGAATAAATAACACTTTCACGCTTACTTTGAAGATTTCGACTTAATATCTTACCAATATCTTACCACGTTTTCCGACAACAGTCATTCAAATAACATCTTAAAATAATATTTGTGTTGAAAAAAGTTTTTTTTTAATAATATCAAGTGACGGAAAGAACAAGTCTATGCGCCTGATGGTAAGCTACACGCCTGTCCATCACAGTTACAGTGCCACTCAGAGCTTTAAATCGCAAATATCTGAGGGGCACTGCAGTAGCAGTCACCTGTCACCCTGAGACAAAAATTGACAAGTCCCATGTGGCTGTAATTTCATTTATGTGAAATGTAAAAATAAGTATAGTGTGTTTGCATAGTGCCGTACGAAATCATTTCAATTAAAGTTTGAGTAATATTTTAGTAAATAGATAATTTCAGTCACAAACGAACAAATATATTGTGTAACTATAGGGATTTAAAGGAAGATTATAAGTTATAGTCACAGAGCGTAATGTCGTGAGATGATAAATAAAACATTAATTATTTTGATTACTCTACTTGTGATAATATAACTATCAACAACCGACAGGAAGAATTGCCTTTAACTTACATAATTTACTACTATATTTTTCTGATTTTAACTTTTAAACATTAAATTATAACCTTTCATATCTCTCAGATTAAAATTTCTTCCTTTCATATATCGCACTGCTAATACAATAGTGTATTAACTCGAAAAGTGTATTTTTTTAAGAAACGAAAAACCAATTAGGTATTTACTCCTGTTAAAGATTATTAAAATGTATGTATGGGTTCGAGTTTATTACAGACATGTAAACAATTTCCTATTGGCCAAATAATTTGGGAATGGAAAAAATATTTTTATATTTTTGGGATTACTTTGTCCGGAACTAGCTCACAATAACTTTGTCATATTTTGAGTTAAGTCGATATGTTTTATTTTTTTTACATCATTTTAACGACGACGGTTGTATTGACGTGTACGGAATCAAATTTTACATTCAGCAATAATCTTCTTCTAAAAATCTTGAATTTTACATATTTTGAGGTACAACACTATTGTAATAGCGGTGCGATATATCGTTAATTAATTTTCTAATCCTGTGTATCAAAATATAATCAGTATCGACTCACATATTTTTTTAGTAGTAATCAGTTGCGAAATCGCCGAGAACTGTTATTCCGAATAATTCAATTAAACAAATCGATTCATTCAATTAATTAATTGATTTCTAGTTGGCAGAACAATTGGTCAAAAATAATTAGAAAAGGGCATTGACTTACAAATAAATGGACGACGGGTCTAATACAAAAACCACGAAAAAAATGTCCCAAGTCAACCTATTCGAAATTTAAATTGTAATGTCATCGCAGTATCGCGCTGTCAGAAGAACAAATGAAGACTAAAGCGGAGTTTGGCGCTCTGTATACGATTTTAGCGCCTTACAAGTGCGGACACTTTTTAGCGCGGACCCGACGTCCATATAATTGTAAGTCAATGGAAAAGGGCTATGTATTTAAATACGGAAAAATATATACTCTTTTAAAGAAACAAAAAACCATGAACAAAAAAGGAAGAATACAAAAATAAAAGTGACATTGGGTCGAACTTAAACTAAAAGGAGTTCCGAACACTGCCTCTAGTCGGGTCAATGACCTTTTATGGATTTAAACGAACTATAAAACCGCCATAATTGCCAAACATTGATTCTAATATTGCAAATCCTCTTGTAGATAATTCTGTACATGGCTGTAAATTATTATTGATGGAATACGCTATAGATTAATTAGAAAAAGTAACGCCTATGCCATATTTAATTTCCAATACTTTCGTGCTTATTTTTTTTTTTCAGAGGACTTTGCCTTTCAAATAGCAATAGATTTAAGGATATGCCATTCCAAGTGTATTTTGTTTACTATGATATATAAAAACATTTTGAGTTGGAATTATTACAATCTTTTCTATATAGTTATAACGCATACGAATACTACGAGCGCAATCCAGAACTCCGTCAGTGCATCGAACAAATCCGCAGCGGTTTCTTTTCCCCCGACGCACCGGGCAAGTTCTCGCACATCGCGGATGTGCTGATGCACCACGACCGTTTCTTGCACCTCGCTGACTTCGACTCTTACATGGAGGCCCAGCAGAAGGTGTCCGATGTTTACCAGGTATTCCAAACATTTATTTATATGTATACATATAATTTGAGTTCTAATTCGTCATGGAGTACAGGATCGATGTGTTGCTCAATATCAAACTTCGCTTGTGCCGATTTTGCCTACTTCAGGCCTGCCGCTAACTGAGTCGGTTCCTGAGGTAGCTGCGGGGTGCGGCAGAAGTGACAGTTTACGTAATAGTTATGTTGCGCTGCACACGGGATAATCTCAACAGATTTTTCCGACGAAATTCAATAACAAGTTGATTGAAAAAATGCTTAAAAAAAGTCAATTATTGTGATGTGAAATGATAATAAAAAAAATCATTTATAATGGAAATGAATAGACAAACCATTTCGTCGGGGATAGTGCAATTATGCGTAACTAGCATTTGATTATGAGTCTCCATTTCGGTAATTTAGTCGCCAAATCACTTCCGCGTAAATGTCAGGGCAACCAAATTTAGCGTGATTTACGAGAATCTATTGTTATCAGTCCGTAGACAACATAAATTAATACTTGCTGTGCAAAAACGAAAGTCGTATAGCCATTGAAATAACAAAGTAATAACGTTAAATCTAAAATTTGGTTTGGTGCAGATACGCCCTTTTTATCAATAATACATACGCGGGTTTGCACTAACTCTGACGATTTGACATTTTTTTCAATCGACTTGCTATTGAATATCGTCAGAAACAATCTTGTTGAAATTAACCCGTTTGCAGCGCGACTATTACGTAAACTGTCATTCCTCCCGCATCGCGTAGCTACCTCTGGAACCGACTCTGTTATGCGGTAGACCTGTGCCTGGTTTATACAAATATGTTCAATTATGTAATTATCCCTTCGTCATATGGGTATATTCAAATGTTTGAGTGGTGTCGTCTGCGCCTGGTAAGGCAGGCAGTACGAATATGGCCAGTGAATGACGTGCAAGACTTTAACCTCCTAAGACCGAGCTAACTACAATGGGAAAAACGCTAAACACCCAATGTACATTAAAATGTACTAAATATAATTACATGCTTCAGATCCAAGTACGTTTGCCCTCAGCAGGGCTAACACGACTATAATATAGAGCGTCATAAAGCGCGAGACCTCTATGCGAGAATAGCAGTATCTCGCGCTTTATGTCGTGTTATCCCTACAGTTTTGAATGTAAAACGTATTTTTCTAATACGTTATGTTATGGCGTCGAGTATATAACCAGAAATAGAGACGAAATGTCATTTAAATTGTTTGAAAAATATTCTGCCAAGTCATTACTGTGACTCATCGAGTATATAACCAGAAATAGAGACGAAATAAGGGCCATATATTCCTGGTAACACATTAGCGATACAGCTCTCATAAATATCAATTCTCGTTTGTACTGAAATATAGACAGGCCAACTACTGACCTGTGTGTACGTCTCCGTATCTATTCCAAAAAATATTATGAATTTATTATAATAAAGATAATATCTCTAACAATGTCATGCTGTTCTATTCGGTGGTGTGGGAAAAACAGCAAAACATCTAATTACAAAACAAACGGAATCACATTTCATCGGTAATTAAATATTAAATATGTAATTTTGCAATTTTCGTCCATTATAGCAAAGCTCAAGTTAACTGGTCGATTTGAAGTGATACATTTGACGACACCCATTGACGACACCCGTCAATTGTTTCGAACTCGGGCTAGCCAATCGGAGCGTGGCTGTCACAGTAATGATATGGCAGAATAGTTTTCAAACAAATTAAATGACATTTCGTCTCTATTTCTGGTTATATACTCGATGCTGTGCTCCGATTGGCCAGCCCGAATTCGATTGATTCACTTCACATTATGTACATTTTGATGTACATGGGACCTTAAGAGGTTATTCACGATTCCATAATTTCCCCGATAAAGTAAATAATACTCTTTTATTTTTAATTTCATTGTGCCTGGATGTACGACAAGGGTTCGATTCCCGGTAGAACTTTTTTAAATTGGTTCTTTTTCTTATATTGTCCCAAAACTAACATCATTGCTCTAGTACTCAAAGTACAGGGAATTTCATAGTTTGACGCCACGTAAACCACAACCAGTAGACCACGTCTTCTGACACTTACTTTATTATTATGAAATTATAATTAATAATAATGTTTGTATTTCTAGAATCAAGCGAAATGGGCGGAAATGGTCATAGAAAACATCGCGTCGTCCGGCAAATTCTCTTCGGACCGCACCATTGCAGAGTATGCACGTGAGATCTGGGGCGTCGAGCCCACCTGGGAAAAGCTGCCGGCGCCTTTTGAAACTGTCTAAATTATTAACAACAAACCATACATCATTTAGATAAATTGTTACCTAAAAGTAATTTCTAAGAGGGTGTCTAGATATCTGTGTAAAATTTAACTTCTGAAGCCCAATAGGACTATACAAAGCTCACTAGGTCACTATTTTAACGATCATGGTCTTCTGTAGAGCAATATTAAACAAGATCAAAGAGTACATTGGGCATCTTTAAAATCTGTCTGGCTAATGTCGCAAAAAACCATCGGGTAGTTTTATTCCCTATTGTGAAGAAAGTCCTACAGATATTTATCACTGTTCTGCACTGGTCGTTGAGGAGTGTTTTTTCTAGAAACTCATAATAAATAGATAGTAATTTATAAAATAGTAAACTAAAAATATAATTGTTCGCACTCATATAGTGTGTTAAAATAACATCTCGTAGTCAATTGCTTTCAATATAACTGAAAAATGCATAACTCGGAAACAATAGCAATATTATTTTATTCAAATGCCGTCACCGTCAATATTACGATACTCGTAATATTATTTAATAAAGTCCTCGCCATAGTAGTGCTCTGACATATGTGACACTGTGGTACCAACACCTAATACAATGTCATAATAATAACTATTGACTTCGTACGCACTAGTGGTACTACGGAAATGTCATAACGGGAACAGATATCAAAAGTAAATCTTAGCGGAAACGTAAGAGGATACTACTATAAAGATCTCAACGAAATAGTTCCAAACACTTGCGTTATAAAAGTCGCGGAAGCAGAAACGGAAACAGGTGTTCAAAAACGTGCGGAAATTCCGCTGTTGAGGAAGCAGAAGCAGGCGATTTATTAAAATAGTAATTAACTTACTACGATAGATAGGTAGGCTCCACGAGCGCGAGTTGTGTTTTTATTAAACCACGTGTACCGCGCAATGTCAATATATTTTAAATTACTACTTAAATAGGAAGACGAATCATTATATAATTTACAGCTCTGCGTCTTGATTTTGAATCGACCCGATCGGGTAATCTCGAAATCAGATGGGTTTCTGAGCGAGAAGATGAACCTGATTCCTACCATATCTTTCTAATTTGTGAGTTAAATCAACTATTGTTCCGATTAGAAATGTCAAAGTTTCCGATCGGCCAATTGTGAATCGCAATTATGCGCGTCGACTCGGAAAAGACGCAGTTTCCAATCGGGAGAGGCAATCAAAATCAAGCTGCTGTCTTTCTCGTTAATTTTAAAGGGTCTACAGATCGAAACCGCTGATCCGGCGACTCAGGCAGCTTGGTGTCGGCGGCCTTATTTTTAATCTTATCCTATGACATGATTCTAGAAACAAGGCTGCAGATACCATCCCCTTGAAATGACATTTTAAGAAAATATCCCAATATTGTCTTCCTTGTTTGTATTTCTCTCTAGTTCTATTCCTTAATTGTCAACGTTCATAAAATTAACTTTGACTGAACATCGTTTGCAATCGCAAATGCACACGAATATTTTGAAAAAGTTAAGTCTTATTACGATTTTGATGCGCACATTAAAGTAACCTTAAGGTATAGTTATTCAGTGGAAATTGTGGGACAAAGAGTAATAATAATCCTCAAGTTATAAACTGAGATCAGAATAGACAAAGTACATTTATCTAAACGTCAAGTCATGGATAACCCGGAACGATTAAAAAAGGAGAAAAGAAATTTGTTGAATATGATTTTTACTGTGTCGTAATATTTATAGTTAGTTATAATTTTTTTGCGCAAATGCTTCACTAGTTTATTATTTATTGTTATTGTATAAAGATCGAACAACATAAAGAAAAAATCCTCTATGTGACTGGAGCCGAGCCAGTGCTGGCTACCACACCGAGGCCACGACTCTTACCAACTAAACTGTCGACAAAGTTAGCAGATCTTGGAAATTTCTCTGTGTGCCTGTTGCAGATTTTTTTAATGATATCAGTGACGGGACGAACATGTCGTGCGCCTGTTGGTAAACGACACGCCTAACCATAACAGTTACAGTGCCACTCAGAGTGTGTAGTGCGAAAATTGTAAGTTGGAAGAAGAATAGACGAAAAGTGGACTGTAATTTTAGCTGGTCGGACAAAATGTAAATAGTAATATTTTTGGTCTATGATGACCATATAAATCCACCACCTTTAATCTCCTTTAGGCTCCGCGTATGAGGTGGTGGATGATGATGTCACCGCTATTCGTTGCCTTTATACCTACTTTTTGGAGCTCCAAAGGTCCACCGTCACAATCAGTCACCAGTAGACACCAACACGACACAAAACAGTCAGTAATAAAAATGACGGATGTTTGAGAAGAAGTGCACATAAAAAATCACTCGGTCGAGCCCGAAGTCGAGAGAGTTCTGGCGGGCGGCCTCCCGAACCAATAAAAGAAAAAATGCAGGTGAGATTATATTGCGATCCGGCTTATTAAAACTACCTACATATTGTCCGAGCGTAGACTATTGAGAGTCATGTTTTAAGGATGTATACACATTTACGAACACCGCCCACCGTTAAAATGCAATTTTAACCATTATTAAAATAATAAAAGAAAGAAAAAACGAAAAGAAAATTAAAATAAAAAGAAGAAAAAATTAAGAACAACAAAAACAAAAATTAAAAATAACAACATTCAATCTGAAAATTTCTAAATCATTAGGATCCATACTTAAAGGGCAAAGAGAACGCGAATTTAAAATAACTTCGATCTGTGTCAAAACCGTTACTTATTAATAAATTTGTGGCTCGTCTGTAGGGGAGATCCGCCAGAGACTAAGTTGGTAATTTAAAAGTTCGTCAGTGATTAAAATCTGGTGTTACATCTGGCGCATGTCGCTGGTGAAAGTTATTTCATGGAGCGAAAGTTACAAATGAGATCTCCAACCTCCTTTTGCAATTTGGGTCCAATAAGTTGATAATCGTTTAAGGAATCTCCTTTACTTGTTGGTGCCAAAGCATCGAAGACAGTCCTCAACTTAGTGGTTGAGCTCGATGGCCTAAAAATGCCATGATGCGGGATGAAATAATGATTTCCCTTAATCTCCCCTGAAACGAGTTCCATGTGACCAGATTTTAAGTAGTCTTCCATGAAATCAAAATATAGATTACGAATTAGAAATTGCTCATCGCTGGCAAAACGGCGCTCCATCGAAATTAAGCGCATGAACGCTAAAGAACGCGATTCGCCTAATGAGGGTTTACCATCCCGAAATGGAAATGAGACAACGGATTTGCCTGATTCTAGCCATTTGTGCGTTTGAACGAAAATTTCTTCACATTGCTGATCTTCAGCGGACAGAACAGATTTTTCTGGGACCGATTCAATCTCCCAGAATTGACGAATAGCTTTGTGAAGACTCTCATCTTGGCTTGAAACGATCAATGACGAAAATTGTGCATTGTAATCTTTAGTAATAAGAAGCCATCGAGTATATAACCAGAAATAAGAGACGAAATAAGGGCCATATATTCCTGGTAACACATTAGCTATACAGCTGTTATAAATATCAACTCCCGTTTGCACTAAAATATAGACGAGCCAACTACTGACTTGTGTGTACGTCTCCGTATATTCCAAAAAATATTCTGTATTTATTCTAATAAAGATAATAACTCTAACAATGCCGCGCTGTTCTGTTCGGTGGTGTGGGGAAAACCAGCAAAACATCTAATTACAAAACAAACGGAATCACATTTCATCGGTAATTAAATATTAAATATGTAATTTTGCAATTTTCGTCCATAACAGCAAAGCTCAAGTTAACTGGTCGATTTGAAGTGAAACAGTTGACGACACCCATTGACGACACCCGTCAATTGTTTCGAACTCGGGCTAGCCAATCGGAGCGCAGTTGTCAAAGTAATGATATGGCAGAATGGTTTTCGAACAAATTAAATGGCATTTCGTCTCTATTTCTGGTTATATACTCGATGTAAGTGCGAACTAGAGGTGGCCATAGGGGTTCCTATAGGCCCACGAATAATTTCTCGTCCGAAAATATCATCATAATAATCGCCTCCTAAAAGAATGTCGACAGACGACGACGTGTCGAAAGTGGGATCAGCGAGAACTAAGTGAGTTAAATGTGTCCAAGACTTAATTTTCAACGAATAAGACGGTTTACTAGAAGTGATGCGACATAGTACCAGCGCACGTTTGGACCTGAACCATGGTGTGGTTTAATGTCAGTTGTAATCATGCCTTTTGACTTCATAGTCAACTGACCTATGTCATGAATTAAAGTGCCTGTTTTATGACGGGGTAAGACGAGTCTGGATACCAAACTGTCAGTGACGAACGAAGCTGCTGAACCTGAGTCAATGAGAGCCCGAGCTTGATGGAAGTTGCCGAGTGCGTCACGAATCATAACTATGACAGTCGAAAGAAGAACCATTTTATTTTGCTCTGGAATCTCGCTAGAACGTAATGAAACGATATTTGACGAATTAAGCTCCTGTGAAGAAAGAGTAGCTTCTTCCGACGGGTCCCCATTCGTAGACTCTTTAGCGAAATGCAAAAAGGTGTTGTGATGTGCCGTTATACAAATCGAACAACGTATCTTGGCACAGCCCTCACACACACATTTACGAACACAGAGCTTTAAATAGTAAAGATCTGAGGGGCACTGCCACTGCTCCCGTCGCCCCGAGACAAAGTTGACAAGTCTCGAATACTTGTAATTTCACCAGCACCTTTAACTATTTAAAACCGAATGCAAGCAAGGAGCTCTACTGCTACCTAAAATAAAATGATATATAAAATGAAATAAAACAAAATTATTATTTTTTTCTTACAGTCACAAAACTTTTCTTATAGAAATAGACGTGGTCAAGTAATTGCTATTTACACAACAAAACTGTAGAGCAAAATACATTGCAATATTCTGGGATTTCAGAGGGAGGTATTATCCACTCTACGTATATTACTTCCTTGAAGTTTAGGTAAATATACTCTGCCTATTCAGATATTTGGTTTTAAGTGGCGGGAACAGGCTGTCCTGTAATCTTACCACTAGGTGCAAAAAGACAAAACCCATGATAATAGAACTTTTATCTTGTTTTCTAACATGCCGCTACTACCACATTGCATTAGTGTGTGCGGTGATAATTCTCGCGCCTCTAGGGATGTGACATTGTTTTTGAGAGTAAATTGACAGCTAAGAGAAAACATAATATATGTTCTTATTTCTTGGAAAAGACAGGACAGCCCAACTTTTTTTTTTCATTTTAGAAACCACGTGCCACGATGTTGCCATCGTTCATACTAAACATAGATTTAATAAACTAAACTTTATAGGTGATTGTTGTTAGCTTTAAGGATTTTTATTATACAGAATATTGCGAAAATTTCGTTATTTTTACTCATGTGTAATCTGATGTTGAGATTTACAAATAATTTAGTCCATAAGTAGAGGTAGCTAAAGCATGTGTGCATTGTGTTCACAATTGTGAGCGTGTTGCTCTTAAATGTTGCCTGCATCGCGCAACTATTGTTTACCAACATTTATTTTTTAGTTGCGCGTCAAGTGGCAATGTTGACTGACGTTGTACTACGTCGTTCAACGTGTTTAAGTGCCGTTGGTAATCCCTTTAAAAAGAATAATAATATAGGGGAAGATTATTTACGTTTATGTGCCATACATAACATTACTCTGTACACTGATTTAGTGTAATACTTACATTGTGTGAAGTTCGTAAATGTACATTACGAACTTCATACAATGTTAAGTATTTATTTCAGAAATATTTAAATGTATTATTATTTTTTACATGAAAGTAATAGAAATGCAAAAAATACTGCCATTAACTATTGTTATTACTCCGTTATTTTAATCTGCTATTTATTTTTTAATAAACGTCATAAAGTAATTATTTTGGTTTTGTATTTCACTTCATTATCCTTACAGGATCTATACATGCCTTCACATTTTTTATGACAGTTAACGGACAATCGTGCGCCTGATGGTGACCGACACGCCTGTCCATAACAGTTGCAATGTCACTCAGAGATTTATACATAGCAAAGGTCTGAGAGGCACTGCCACTGCGCCCGTCACCCTGAGACAAAGTTGACAAGTCCAATGTGTCTGCAGTGTCACCAGCACCCATACCCTTGTAAACGGGAACGCTCACATTACTGCTTGGCGGCAGGAATAGGTATGGTGGCGGTACTTCCCTGACCTTCCAAACTCTTCCACAGGGAACTCTACTAAAACATTTGTAGGTGTTTAAACTAAACTCTTTTGCAAAAAAAACGGGCACTTTAGATTTTTTTCTCTACTTCAATGAAGAAGAACAAGAAATAAGTTTTATTAATTTGACGATATATTGGCATGTTATTTGAAGCATCCTGGCATGATCATTTACGTTCCAAATTTAAAATTAATAAAAGAAAAATAATGATTATTGTGGATTATTCTAAAATTGCTTTACTAATGGCGCGAATTGCTGAAACGATTTTTAACTGATTACGATATTTTAAAACTTTTTGGATATTTTCTGCAAATTAAACAATTTAATCTTTCTTTTTACATTAAATACCACTTTTTGATATGAGTGATAAAGTGATAAGGGCCGGTAAAATTATAGCCCTACTTGAAGAAGGTTGTTCGCAAACTTACGTGTCTCAGCGGCTAAATGTGAGTCGTTCAACTGTCCAGAGGACTTGGCAACGGTATCAAGAGACCGGTTCGGTCAAAAGAAGACCCGGTTCGGGAAGAAAACGATGCACAGAACCAAGAGATGACCGCTTTTTGGTGAGTCAGGCGTTGCGGAATCGTAAGGCGTCAAGTGTGGACCTGAAGAAGAGCCTTGAAGAAGTAAGAGGAGTAGAAGTTAGCTTGTGGACGGTCAGGAGGAGGCTTTTGGCTGCCAATATCAGGAGTTACCGCCCAGCTCGGGGCCCTAAATTACTCCGTGAACACCGTGTTGCTCGACTTCAGTTTGCTCGGAACTGTGCTTCATGGACTCTGGAGGACTGGAATAAAGTATTGTTTTCTGATGAAGCTAGAATCTCTTTGTGTGGAGAGGACCGACGCCGGCGAGTGCTGCGAAGACCACGGGAACGCTATGCGTAAGTGTGTTTCGAAGAAATCACTCCTTATGGCGGAGGCTCCGTTATGTTTTGGGCAGCAATTAATTCGACGGAGCGTACGGAGTTAGTTTTCATAGAAAATGGAACATTAAATGCACACCGGTACATAATGGAAGTCCTAATTGCATATGCACAACCCACATTGACTGCACTTGAGGAAGATTCCATTTTTATGGACGACAATGCTCGCCCGCACCGTTCTGGCGACTTGGAAGCGTACATGCAAGAAGTTGGGATCCGTCGTTTAGATTGGCCAGCTCGAAGTCCTGACCTCAGTCCAATTAAGCATGTCTGGGATGTTCTAAAGAGACGGGTAAGATCAGTGCAACCTGCTCCACAAAACATCAGGGAGCTAAAAAGAGTCATTGCAGAAGAGTGAGAACGTATTCCTCAAAACGTTATTAAAAACATCGTGGAAAGCATGCCCAGAAGGATTCAAGCTGTGATTTTGGCAAGAGGAGGTCACACTTGTTATTAGGTTTTTACATTTGTAACTTTATTTAATTAAAAAAGTAAAAAAAATCTTGTCTTTATTGCCGACCACTTCTTATTGTTTGGGCGTGTACATCGGTTTTGAAGAATCCATGGTTTTTTTATCTTTTAATTGCCCGAATTCACTTCACGTGCATTAATTTACACGATTATAAGTATACAGACTAAGTCAAAGAAATAAATTTCATTTAATTAACTCAAATCGACTTTAGAACGTAAATTTCCTTAGGTGCCCGTTTTTTTTGCAAAAGAGTGTATGTAGAGTCATATACTGTACACCTTGCTACCGAGAATTTCTGCCGAACGTAGGATTGTTTTGACTTGTTCTTATTGAGAGTCCGTTTACCCCATTCTAGTGATACTTTACCCTGTAGCTCTTAAACTAGATCCCTATTACTAGCAAGGTTGCGGCTTAACGAAAGTAAAAGAGAAGTATAAATTTGTTAAAGGTAGAAAATGAATGGAAAAAGGATATAACAAATAATAATAAAATTATATAAAAAGGTACAAACAGTCCAGATACTAAATAGTCCAGACACTCGCCCCAAGAGGGCCTATATGTATATCTAAGGATTTAAAAACAGTAAATCACGTAGAGTTTTACATGAGGATGGTCCATAAGCAGTCCTCTCGCTTTGAGAATTTTGATGGGAGTGAAGACTGAATGAACCAACTTTATTAGCAGTAGAGCTCCTTGTGAAAGAGTTCGTCCAGGGAAATACTTTATCTATTTCTGCCACCAAGCAGTAATATTAGCATTACTGTGTTCTGGTTTTGAAGGGTATAAGGGTGCTTGTGAAACTACAAGCACATGGGACTTATCAACTTATGTCTCAGGGTGTCGGGGCAGTGGCAGTGCCCCTCCGATCTTTGCGATTTGAAGCTCTGAGTGGCACTGCAATTGTTATGGACAGGCGTGTAGCTTACCATCAGTCCCACGACTTGTTCGTCCCGTCACTTGATAATTATAAGAAACGTCCGTAAGAATAGTGGAATGAAAAGGAATTCGGAAACTTTCAAATTATAAAAGTGAGTGTCCAGTTCATAGATTAAAAGTAGCATGTCAAAGAGGTATTATATCACGTAGAGCGTCAATTCTTTTATAGCTCTAAATTGCACGCAGATTGTTTTGCGATTCGTGCGTGCGCAATTCACGCGTCTCGCGTCCTGTCAGTCCCGCACGTCCTAACTCGCTTTGTCTCGTCCAGGATCCCCTCCCTACTAAGGATGAACAGGACCAAAAATATGCGTTGTCCTCTTTGGATGTGGCTATACTCAGATGTTATTAAAACGTACGTTTCTTTCAACGTTTAACCAGCAGTCTAGAGTGTAAACTTCAAATTACGTTACAATTCTAATCAACGAGGTAATCAGGCCAATATTTTGTATGTTGAACATCACACACAATAGAATGAAGCTATACGACTAGGTAGATGAACTTTAAAAACAAATTTGTAACGGTAACTACACAACGGTATTTAATATTTATATTAGTAATAAAAATAGGTACATATTTCGACAGTTAAAAGAAAAAAGGGACTGAAGCCCATTTTTTTATTGTTCAGGGGAGCGATTTTAAATCTACCAATTTTCATATAAATCCATTAAAAATCGCCTGCTAAAGCACATTTTAATCTGCTACTTTAGAAATATGTATTATATAAAGATATGCTAGTGTAAAAATACAATCTGCTAATGCCAAATACATATAAAACTGATTTTCGATATAAGTGTCCCTTAACTTCTTTTGCCTTTCAAGCGTTGATATTTACTTATTTGATTCTATTAAAAAATTAACGCTGTAAGACGAATGACGGTCTCACCATCAAGTATAGTCCCAAAATGTCATCGGCCGTGTCATAGCCCCGGTAGCTCTGACTGACTCATTCCGCGTCTGTACCTCCGACGAGTCGGTCGTACCGCTCGTCTTTTGTGTGTGTTGTGGTTCCTTGTATCTTAGGCGCCGCACGGAGCCGCCCTTCCATCCTCGCAAGTAAGCATCTAACATAAACATTACGCACTTCGTACTATGTATTTATTTCAGAAATGTTTAAGTGACAACCAATGCCGGCAATACGAACGCGCATCTACGATCGATAACGATGTTGTCTTGACCGCGTACTCCCTCATATCAGGCTCCTCTTATAACATTAATTCTACATTATTATGACTCGAATGTTATGATAATACACCACCGCAGTTCTGCTATTAGCTTTGAATATCATTTTAAGTTAGTTTATTTGACTTATTCGCTACTGTACCCAAAACCATGTACAGAGCGCCGACCACATATTTATAACTAAAGCTTGTAAATTTTTGGACGTTTTAGGAGTTTACATCAATAATAGTAAATGGAATGTATCATATGTCTGTGTTCATTTATAAGTCACAAATTTAACAGAATAATAAAACATTCCGTGGGAGGCGGACATTAGGAAACGCGTTCGGTTAAATTTCGCAATATATTGATTTAATAAACCCATTCCGGTTTTTTCTCAATCAAGAAACTAGAAAATATAGTAACACGCGTAGGTGATTTCTTATATAGTTGTTATACACATCTTCTAAGCACTTGGACGTTCAACGCCTTCAATACCTAGACGTCCTAAAAACGAGAATACTACTTTAAAATAACATTTAGCTGTTTGCAAACTAGCGGTGTATTGGACCAGTGGACATTGCAAAGATTCAACGTGAGTCATACGGTGTTTGAGACGTTCGAATAATTTGAACTGACGCAATTTTTAAATAGTTGTTAGCCACGCCTTGAGTCATCTAATAGTTGACTATATAATGGGGACATAAGAGGATCTCTACCATACTTCCTCTGTATAAAATTTGAAAATTTATACGAAACCGTCTCTTGCTCATGTACCTAGTAAGATAAATTATAATGTTTAGGTGTATCTAAGTGCTTCTTAAAACAGAATAAGACTTGCGTTCGTAAGTAATACAATTTGTACCTGTTATATTACTACAATGAAAGTATTTTGTGATCGGTGACACTTCTATGATTACAGTATTTACCATAAACTTTCGCTGGACACAAATGAAAATAGAACTTTCATATTAGTAATATATTGTAGGAATCCAGTTATGAAGGATTTGCGATTATCTCATAAGAATTATTACCCTGATTGTATTGTAAATTTACACGTGAATCTCATTTTCATAGTCTTGTAAAAGTAATAGGAATAAAGTACACGTAGTTTATTTTATTAAACCTAATATAATATTTATTTCAAAGACATTCTATAGGATGTAGAGAAAGACAGTACAAAAATATTTGGTGACGCATTAATTTTGGGGAGGGTCGACTCCGGCCCTCCTGGCACAACGACCTTCCCCCATATAACAACGTAATAGGGGTGAGGGGAAACACGTGGAATGGCTCCACCAATAACCGTTCAACCATGAAGGTGGAGTTTTTTGATTGTTTGAATAAAAAAATGTTTGTCTTAATTTAGACAAAGTATAGTTTCTAATATTAATTCCGTATTTTATAAAAATGGTTCCTAAGAGTAAACAAATAACTGCTAAAAACAAACGAGATCCATGTACAAATTCGACAAGAGTATAGATATTACTTTATCAAGCTATTTATTTTTTAAGTTTCATTAAAAAAGTCATATGGCAAACACTCTTTGCTGTCATTCCGCACGCAATGTTTCGCTGCGAGCACGTTTTAAATTTAGTTGTTAAACTACGGATGTATAGCAACGTATTATTTCGGGAAACACGAGTAGTAAGTTCAGATAATCTGTATATGTAACCATAGGCTGTATAAATGCGAACATATGGTGTGTTTCAAACAAGTCGCTATACCTTCTGGAGCAGGTGCAAAATGTTCGAAAGCCACAGAGCTGGTTTTTTACTACCCGCCTGCAGGTAAAAGATCTTTCTTTTATTTAGCTTACGTACCTACTGAAAATTTACGAACCTACACAATCTTTTGCGTCTATTCTAAATTGAATAATACGGACTTATGTTTCCTATGAAGTAGATTTTGTGTTTAAGTTACAATTGTACGTCAACAGCATGTCAAGGTACACATTGACGTGTCTTGTTCCATTGCACTGGAGGCGATTTTCGAACAAAAATGTGTAGTCTGATATTCTGTTGTCAGCTTACACGAAGCTCAATTCCAAATAAATTATCGTAAATTTTATCCAAAACGACTTTCGACTGGCGCACGGCAGGCTGGCTGTAGTGGATTCCTAAATTGGCAATTTGCTTCGTAAATGCTTGCTAACTTGATTGAAAATTTTGACAATAGGCTTTGACTGCCTTTTTTGCCTTTACCTTTTTTCCGTACGATAGAGATTGCAGACTCACGGAAGCTATAAAACAAACACAATTATCTATCTTTAAGCTTAAGTAAGACGACCTCGGTGGCCTAACGGTTTACATTGCGGGCGCTGGATGCGGAGTTGCCGGGTTTGATTCCTGACAGGTCCAATTTGAGAAAGGAACTTTTCTAAATTGGTTCCTGTCTAAGTGTACTGGGAAGTGCCTTAGTGAATTCTGTTGCTCTGGTACTCATAGTACAGTGAATTCTCTATTTTGAAACCAGGCAAATGGTGTGGTTGTCTGGTACATATCTTAAGTGTTGTTTGTGCTTGAGGCAAAAGTGATAAAATTAGTCAAAATAAACGACGTTTGCTTGAAATGTCTTTAAATGAAAGGCTTCCAAGAAACTATCAACAACAGGATAATAAACTACCTGCAGGATAAGTATCATGCTCTACCCGTTGCGTACAAAAGTAGGCGCATAGGATGGGAGAGGGAGCAATGGGATGCGGTACGAATGGATTTCTCCGTCCTCGCTACCCGAGGGGGTAACGGTGGCACCAGCCTCCTAGACGGCTTGGAGCGGGGGTGGCACGCCAAGACTATCAATTTGTCTTTGACAGGTAACTTTCTACGTACCAATAGAGGTAAACATATTTCAATGTAACTTCATTGGATGACTTCAAGGTTAAGAGATGCATTTCAATGAAATGAAAAATAACTATTGAATACCGTTCCGTTTAGTAGAATATGAGAATAAAAAGAGACCTAGACACTCGTAGAGTTTAGCCTCAGAACTACGAATAAATATAAACAGATTGTTTAATTTGAATGTGTAGGTTGTGAATTTAAAGAGATCAGTTCTTATAGTATCTACATAACCATGTACGTATTTGCACTAGTAACTTCCTTGTTAGAAACATTCACGGTTTGAAACTCTCTGACTGTAATAAAAAAAGTAGTGATGCTGATCTATATTACTGTGTACATTTTACACGGCAGCTACGTGTATTTTATTTTATTGTTTATCGATCGGCCAATCTATTAAGTAGCCGTTAACAGATACGCTACATTATACTTATCTACCGGACTACTGGCAGTATATAGGTATACCGATAATAACGACTGATCGGAGAATTCAATACGCGCGTTACTGCAGCCATTTCTGGATAATACAGCCCGAAATAACTCACCGTCACTCATGCGAGCCCCAATTCCTGTACAGTTTTCTGTAAATACAAAATTACGAAACTAAAATCAATACTTTTACGTTCAGGAAATGCAGTGCAATAAGAAAACATTTCGCTTTTAAACCAGAGCGAACGCGACTAGGATTAGAAAACGAAATTTATATTCGGATGGTTTCTGCAGTCATACATTTAATATAACATATCTACTTACAAATTAATAATAATAATGTATTTATTTCCTAGCGTAGTTTAGAGCAAAACATTAAAATATTACCTCACACAAGATAATAATATTCCGTGACTCTCAAAGTAGGTTTAGGATAACCTGTGACGTATGAAAGCCAGTATTCCTCCGTGCTAGCATAATAAGTTAAAAGTAGTGGAAGGACCAATCTGATGAAGGAATATCCGCTGACGCGCATATTGCACACCCTGAACGAAATATCGAATGAGATCGATCTGTTCCATTGTCCTCTGAGTGAATTCACAAAGATAGCGCTTTATATCTTATGTAACATTTAGTAATTTTTGCTGGTCTATTGCATAGGGTGGATAGCCTGTTATAATAGATAAAGTTTTGGAAATAGGCAAATAAATAAATAAAAAGTATATAAAGTAGTATTGGGATAATACGGGCAAGGAAAACGTACATTCAATAGCTTGTTGTATATTATATATTACACGAATATTTAAGAGGACATCCTAAGCTATAAATGAAACAAAACTTAACTTATGGTATCCTTTAGGTACCCACAAATGGTCAACTCTTATATAAACCTGCATAAATAATTTGAACGAACAATAGAACTAGTCGGAATAGAGGCAACTTTATTGTTTATAGCATATATAAATGGTTTGTTCATTCAAATAATTTTTATTGTAGAGGTACTAAATATTGCGGGGAGATGAACTAATGTTCGCTCCCATACGACCTAATTTTCGTAAACCTATGTGGAATCTATTCATACCCACTTCATCTATAAATCCTTTATTCGCCTTACATGGCAAATTGAACTAATGATGATGTCATACAAACAGTTAGCGCTCACGAATATAGTACATTTGTATCGATGCCGTATAAATGAATATTGCGATAAATGTGTTATATTTCAATACAATTGATCGAAAAATTATATTTTTTGCAGCAATGAATCGTGTGCAATGTGGTACTTTATACTTTTTCTTAAAAGTCTAATTTAGTAAGGTTTTTTTAATGGTAGCAAGTGACGGGACGAATAAATCGTGTTCCTGGTGGTTAGCGACACACCTATCTATAGCAGTTGCAGTGCCACTCAGAGCATTAAATCGCAAAGATTTGAGGGGCACTGCCACTGCGCCCGTCACCCTAAGACATAAGTTGACAGGTCCCAAGAACGTATAATTTCAGCAGCTCCCTTACCTTTCAATACCGGAACGCGGTAATGCTCTATGTTCCTGCTAGGCGGCAGACGAACTGTTTCACAAGGAACTCTACTGCTCCTAAAACTAGTTTACTATCAAGAAGTTTCTTTCTGTTTATTTGGAATAAAATATGGAAAATGGATAAATATATAACGAAAACTACGGAATGAATAAATGGGATTGATTTATTTTACACAAATTATATTTATTTTATAATATTTAAAGTATTTGAATATTTTATTTATTAAAAGTATGGTAAGGATTAATAATAACAATATTAATGACATTTTCGAAAAATTGTTACAAAATATTTTGTATTTCTTTATCACAAAAAAATACACATATTTTTTACATAATTATAAGTACACATGATTACTTAACATTTTCAATTTTTTATTTTAAATAGGAATTTAATAATTGAATGCACTGTGCCACTTTTTGTTAAAAAGTTAGATCGCAATGAAAAATTATGAGCACAGTTGTGCACATAATTTTACATTGGGACATAATTTTGTAATGTTATTTGTGTGACGAAATATTGTATTATGCATTGGTCTCAATTTCGTGACCAATTAAAATGACTTGACGGATATTATGAAATTAACTCCGACCGAAGTTTTGAGCGAAGCGTAAGTTGCATGAGGCAAAAGAATGACTTCTGTAGAGACGAGTATGTTCTGACTTGTGCAAATTACACTTCTTTTTCGTTGTACTTTGACAGAGCGATCGTGGTCATCACGGAATATATTTGCTAGGGGCTGATGTGGCTCACATCACGAAACCTCGCCATCTCTCCGTTATAATGGACTCCCTAGTGGACTCATGCAAAGAACCTCCTACTACAGAGTTGATTTGGTCGGGCCATCGCATTGGTGACCTTCCGATGCATTCCGCAGTCTAGTGCACTAGACTCTACCCAGCACGAAAAGACGCTCTGCGGGATCAAAGCTCCTCCGTCTTGAGACGTGTTCGTAAAGTAGGTTGTGTTGTATTAAAAAACATTGTGTATTACATGGGCGTCGTGTGCTATTGTGAACGGGTGATGTTTAAATCGTCGCTTGCGGCTCGGGCTTACTCTTTAGCAATAACCTGTTTTTTTAAGTACCTAGTAAATTCCAAATTCTAATTTTAAATTTCATTTATTTACACAAAAAAGAAAAAACACAAAACATGCAGATTAAAAGTCTTACATATCTTAGATTCCTTTATATCTTTTCCATCCGCTAAGTTACACCATAGATTACAGAATATGTGACACATAAATAGTAACTAATAAATTACTATAATGTATGGTTAAATGTGTGGTGAGGATTCTGAACGCAGCATTAAAAAATATACTCGGACTATTTTTGTCACCAATTCTAACGTTTATTGAAATTAACTAATTGGAAAGTTTATTAAAACAACCACATTAATGTAGTATGCCTGTGACGAATACATTGTATTTTTGAACTTAAATCTACATTGTTTAGTGACCGAAGAAGCAGTTGTTCGTAAATTTAATCGCTTTCTTTGCGTTTTAAATCCCGAGAAAAGCGTACGTCACATTCGAAAACTCGCTCTTACAAAATTGTTAGGAAATGAAGACTTGTTTAGCAATTAAATGAAAAAATTTAATCATATTTGAGCAGTTTCTACCATTATATTTTACGAAAAATACAGGTTAAAATATAAAGTATTCTTATATTTTTGGGCAGGAATTGGTGTGGCGGAGTATATAAGTAGACTATGTACTTACATAGAGTTATCTTTTTCCACAGTACATCTAAATAAATATCAAATAACAACACACTGAGTTTTGTAATCTTGTTTATTCATCAATGTGTCAAGCAAGACCCCTCTTTAATAAATTATAAGCGAAGGGGACAGACAGGAACACTTTTGTCACGGACAACATGGTTGAAATATACAATGTAGCTTTAATTTTGCACGGTCATATTATTTTTTTATACTGCGTATTTCTAAAAAACGGGTCTTTCAATTCACATATTTTAAGAACGCCTACAAACTTATTTAAAATGAAATACTCTGCTAATCATGGCACATCTCTATTTAAGAATATAACTTAATTAGCAAGTAACCAACCTAGGCAACTGCGTGTGTTTTGGTACATCCATCGATGGAACATCTCATATCATCAATCAGCAGTCATTTCCTGTTCAAAACGAGTAACGTGAAAGTGCATTATAAAAACTCCTATTGGTTAGGGGAGGTAGTGCGTAAAGAACGTAGCTTAGCGTGACCTTGCGCAGTTCCGCCCCTTCAACAAAATTCATGGGTTGTTGTTTTCTAAAAATATACGAATGGACATTGGCCTGTGCAGTGCTAACGTATATAGACTCAATGCGTGAAACAAATTTTCTATTATAATTGCCAATTATATATTCTTTAATTCAAGGAACAATATAAAATTTTACAAAACTATGCGTAGAGTGAACTATTTTTCCTATGTTACAATTATTATCCACTTCGGATATTTATTTTTTGTAGGATAATAAAATTGAGCAACCTGATTTCATAATTCATGATTTATATTCTTTTGTTTCAGATTACGGGCAGTGCCCGGCCGCGCAGCGGCTCGTTGATTTTTTTATTATTTGTAAAGTGCGTTTTTTTTTGTTCTGCCTGTGACAAAGTGTTCTGTGAAGTGTCCAAGTGACTGTCACCATGGCTATCGTCACCGGAATTACCGCCCTCCTGGCGCTGATCGCTTGCGGTAAGTAACGAACTTTTTCAGCTTTTTTGCCTTTTTCTCTCTATACTAGCTATTTTCATACAAAAAATGATACTTACTTTCATAAGTATGTTCTTGGAGACATAAGTACCTACTTTGTAAACAGTTTCCGCTATAATTTAATATATACATTTGAGTGGATTCTATGGCTGAGCATGTCATAGATGTGTTTTGTAAGAAAGCAAGCTCTAAGTAACAGTTGTGGTGGTTTGAAATGAAATGCGTAAAACTGACTTGCGAATCCGGTGAGCAGCCTTAAAAGCAAGAAGATATGTGAATGATGCTACTACTAGATATTATCTACAATACTTGCCCATACCACATATTTATTATGTCGTATGGTTTTAAATTATTTTATTTACTCAACTCAATTAATGCGAAGAACTTAAACTATGCTTAGGCTTGTTAATATACTACTTAGACTTGTTAATATCAACACGTTTATATTATATATACTTACATATATTTAGACTTATTAATACCAACACGTAGTTTAAGTAGAAACAAAAAGCCAATGGGCTGTTATAATTTTCCTTATGTTTGATTATGGTAAGTGAATTAAGTAACCTACCTACACTCTATTTACAAACTTTTTTAGCCCCTTTCAATAAGATAAGCCTTGAACACCAGTCCAGTCTCTAGGTCGGGTATTTATTAAAACTGGTTCTCAAGATTATCACAGACAGATAATTCCGGTGCGTAGTATTCATTACAGTTTTGCGTTTTATCCGTGGTTGTGGAGCTGGGAGTAAGGGTGTGATATACACGGTATGTTGAGTTTGTTCAGAGAGGCAGGGTTGGGGGAGGCCAGTCTGTGACGTCGCGGGTCGATACAGCGGCCGGGCAACGAACCGATATTCGAACGTCACAGCATACGCCTTGCTATAATATTTCAGTTAGGATTTTTTATTTCCGATATAGAGTTCTAGACGCTTAGCGTTTTTTATATAAAATTTTGCACAGGTACTCATTTACGTACATTCGTATCTGTTACAAGCTGTAAACAGGGGTTTACTATATTTATATACTCTTTGTCAATGCAAAACTTAATGACTACTGCAACTATAATTATATATTTCTTGAATCGTGGACACAAGAATCTTGAACAAAATGCGTGAAGTGGTTAAGAAATCGACTTATTTACTCGTTCAAATAAACGTTTTTGGTTCTTGTCTGTATTCTGTGTTTTCGCATACATTGAATTCACACTGTACTATGTGGTTCATTGACGACACCCATCAATTGTTTTGAATTCAGGCTGGCCAGCCGAAGCGAAGTTGTCACCGTAATGATTTGACAGCACAGACAGTTTTCAAACAAATTGAATGACATTTTCTCTCTATATCTGGTTATGTACTGGATGGGTACAGGAAGCCCTAGTTTGAGACAATTGGTGTGGTAGTCTGGCACATTATTAAGACATTTCTGATTTTGAAAGACAATATCACATTTATGAATGTTATTTTTTTTTATAATACGCACGTGACGGGTGTGACGGGACAAACAAGTCGTGAGCCTGGTGGTAAGTGACACGCCTATTCATAACAGTTGCAGTGCCACTCAGAGCTTTAAACCGCAAAGACCGGACGCGCACGACCACTGCGCCCGTCACCCTGAGACTTACGTTGACAAGTCGCATATATGTGCCTGTAATTTCACCAGCACCCCTACCCTTCAAAACCGGAACGCAGTAATGCTCACATTTCTGCTTGGCGCCAGAATAGATAAGGTGGCAGTACTGCTGTCCACTAACTAAAACGGAGCTAAGTGACAAATGGTCAAAATATCCGCTATAAATAGCAAAACGGAGCACAAAATTCTCTTTTAAAACAGTTAAAATTAGTTAACGTGTTCGATTTATCGGAACTTATTCTAGCGGTGCATAGCTGAAATATCATTAAACAATTTCAATATTCTAAAACTGGGTTATGGTTTTTTATGACATCTCATAAAATTATTTTGCCACTTAGCCGCGTTTAGTTAGTGGACACGAACTCTTTCACAAGGGGCTCTACGGCAACGAAATTATCTTACAATGCTCATATTTGTACTCTATCCTTATCAATTCTAATCAATAAGACATGTGACAAAATAACAATTTTAAGATATTAAATCGTAAAATTGTGTGTTTGATTACACTTGTTGTAACACTGCAAAAAATCTAGTCGACATTGACACATGCAAATGATGATGCATCTCTACTTCACAATCACTACGCTAACTTTTCGAGTATGTTTTATTGTTGTATCTGCAGTGCTTTTTGTGAAGAGAGTAAAGAAGTTAGAAACGAAATATCATGTAAAGTTATTACTTTATACTCTGCCTACATTATGCTCCACTAGGAATTTCCTGATGAAGTATAAATACTGATAGATAAATATAAACCATCCCATTTACGTTTCGTTCAATATGAAAAGTAGTTGTATGGGTGCTTACAGAATACGAATACAACTGTCAAAATGAGAATGTAGAGCCTAGGATAGAAAAAAAATAAACTAATCTAAGGCCTTAGAGGATGGAAAAAAATAAAAGAAAGGAGCTGCCCTAAGTACAGAATCAACGTGCATATTACCAAAATTTGAAACTTACAAATGGCGGATTTCTTTAGTGTTGTACCATAATCTATCGATAAGTCATTATCGACATGCAAATGTATGGCTTGAATTTTTGTTTCTTTAGTTTACTGTAACCAAAGTATGCCTAAACAAACACAAGTCTGATAATTTAATCTCGAGTGGTAAATTATTATAAATGTCAACACACATTATTAAACTTCAAAAAAAATTTATTTTCAACATTACAACTGGTAACTTATTTAGTAAAAGTCACCAAACTGCTGTGCAGTTTGTTGGCGACATGCGCATTCTTGCTTAATTATACCTACTTTACTTGTATTTAACATTACGTAGTATTAATTGTACTTACTAAATAAAATATAAAAATTACTTTAAGAGGTACGCCTTTAACCTACATTTTAGTACATATTTACATAACGTAAACCAATAAACCTAAATAAATAAACGTAATACCAATAAACCTAATGATGGAATAGCATTGTCATGTAATCTAGTTACATTTAAAGTTCTGTTAAAATTTGACTCTTCAAAATGAAGCGAACAAATGAAGATGGTCTTTGATCCAACGTTTATATTCGGCAGTCCTATGATTTCCAACCATTCTTTCTTCCTTTTTTCATTTGTAGGAAAACTTGAAATAATAATAATAAAACAATAAAAACCTCATAGTGAATTGTTTTAATAACAGAATATCGATAATATGTATGCTTACAAGATCAACACTATCTCAAAATAATCGTTAACAACAATCATCAAAATATACAAACAAACAGGCAATCTAAAGTAACAAAAGCAAAATTTGGCAAGATTTATAAATAAACTACTTAGATAAGTCTAATTACATAAAATATTCGGGCTATTGTGTGATTTATAGACAAAAAAATAACACATGCCTGTGCAATGTAACATTCGATTGATTTGCAGTTTTTCTAAAGCCGCATCCTTTAATGCTGCAGCGTCGCATTTTTATTAATACCTAATTATTCTCACTGTCAATATTTTTGTCCAATTTAATTATAATACATGTGAATAATTCAATAATACATTTGGAAAAACATTTGTTTTGACATTTGATGTACTTCCCTTTGACAACGGTATCATGTACCTCATGTACTTGAAATGGCCACGGTTGGCATTTAAAATGACGTTACGAATTTTCGATTCCCGTGTTTGACACAGACCAATGTAATGCTATCTCTTTTGGCTTAAGACGGCACGTAATAGTTAAACAAAGACAATAATATGTTTATGTTTTCGACGACGAAATGCATCATATACATATAACGTCTGATTTATATATGTCAACGTAACATGTCCTTTAGTTTCCATAGTCTAAGTCTAAGGCCCACAGGATGGAAGTTATGTGGAGATCACGGAAGTTGACATTTCCCAGTTGCTAACCATAGAGTAGATAGTAGTAAAATTTTTCATCCATAGACAGGCTTAGACATCTAATTAGCCACACAGCCATATCTTAGATTTGAGCAATAATCTTGTATCGTTGGATATGCGTTGGATTTTAACTTTTCTTTGACCATTTAATTTTCTGACATTTTTTCGTTGCCTACATTGCCATTTTTTCGAAAAAAAAGCCTAACCATAGATAGTAATTAATAGTTAGATAAAACTTTTCGTCTTTCGGGACAGGCTAAGCATTTAAACCATCTTAGATTTAATTTTTTCTTAAATAGTTTAATTTAAAGGCAAAACCCGGTCTATGAATTGTATGAAATATATTATATATATTACGAAAATGCGCTTTGCACACAATGTAGTTGAGCACTTTGTTCCGTGATGAACATTTTAAACTTTCAGTGAGTTACGCAATAGGTCTGTAGTGCCTCTATCGTCTCTCTTCCGACTGACATGAGGAGACAAATTTTTGAGGGCAATTTCGGTTTACAGTGTATGTCTTTAGTCGTAGCTCGTGACGAACTGGTTCTATTAAAATCTATTATTATTATATTCACACATAAAAAGGTAGTGGAGTGAATAATACGATTCGTGGAGAATGTCGACTGAAAGAAAAAATGTCGGATGTCGGTTGAAAGCACAGTATCGTACGTCTTATTTATGTTACGTTGTTTTTACCATTCTTAAAATGTCCTTTATGACAGTTGACAGAGAGGAATTAAGTGTGACAGACGAATCAAATACATAACAGATCAAATACATTCACCAGTTACGATATGCGAACGCAATTGCAAAGCCATTAATATTAAAAAAAAGAAATCAGGATAAAATTCCTTTCGGACTGTTGGTTCCACTTTTGGTTCCACTAGCTTTTATGTGTATCGGTAAGTTAGTTACCTTGTAAACACAGCCAACTTTATATTACCAGTGCTAGACTCGCGTGGTCAAGGCTGTTCATTCACAAGTTACATTTTAACGTAAGCACTAGAATGT